GGCCACTGCGGAAAAGCAGGAGAAAGGAAAAAGAGAGTACATGAGTTCAGCCAAGCGAAGGCTTGCATGGGAGCGAGAGAGAAATACGAGCATCTTTCCAAGTACGGTCCATGCTCTGATGTCAGGGCAGATGAGGTTGTGGCATCCAGTGCTTAATCCGTGGGCTGAAGGATGCAGCTTGCCAGAAGCTCCCCAAGGTATGACCATGACCAGTTAATTCCATAATGCAGTGTTAATTGGGATGGCGGTGACCTTTCGATCAGCGCTGGCTTGCAGTCTGGTGGAAGCATTGGAATTGTAGCTTTGCAGAGAGGCAGCGGGGAGCCGGGCGATGAAATGTCACAGGGATCTCTCTCGTGGAAGACAGAGCCTAGATCCCTCCGCCCTGCCCTCAGGTCCTCCTCTTGCAGATGGCAGAGCGGATTGCTCTACGAACTCATTGAACCCTTGATGTTGCTTATTCAGGGAGAGGGTCTGTCGTTCTAAAAATTTTGCCAAATTGAGACGGTCACTTCCAGGCTGCCAATCCGCCGTATGATTAAAATTCTGTGTATGCTCCTCACCACACTGCGGTTAGAATTTTATTTTCCAATTTCCTAATAATTTAAAAGAATACACGGGGAAATCTTATCCTGCCCCTCCATCCTCTCAGCTTCCCCTCCCCCCTCGTGGCAGGAAGACTCTAAGGTAGGAGTGAGCCAGCTTTGATCTTGCACTTTGATCTTAAACTAAAATGAAATATACTTGGAGTCGAGAGTGGATTTCATGCTCTTTATTCAGCTCATAGTGGTGAGGAAGAATGAAAGTTCCCCCAAAGTATCTGCTTTATATACATTATTTACACAATGGGCTGCACGTGATTGGCTAATTCTGGAATTCTCCTGTAGGCCAATCAGGTTGTGGATTCACTTCCACCTGGAGCTGGATTGGGTGGCTCCTGTGGATCAATCATACTGCTGCATTGTTCTAGGACCAATCAGACTGCTGCATTTTGGATCCTATTGTTCTAGGACCAACCAGACTGCTGCATTTTGGATCCTATTCAATTCAGTACATAACACCAAGTTAATCTATGGAACTCTCTCCCCCAGGAAGCACTGTTGGCCTTAAAAGTTAGATGGACTTAAAAAAGGATTAGAAAAATTCATGGAGGAGAAAGCTATCAATGGCTACTAGTCATGGCGGCCATTCTCTACCTCCACAGCAATGCTTCTGAATACCTGTTACTGGGATCCACTGGAGGGGAGAGGGATCTTGTGGGTTTCCCACAGGACCAGGTTGGCCACTGTGAGAACAGCATGCTGGACTAGATAAGCCACTGGCTTGATCCAGCAAGCTCTTCTTATCCTGCAGTACCAGCTGCAGCCCCAGTAAACGGACCACAGGGGAGGACCACACTTAGCAAACCTTCCACCAGTATAACTTCAAGGCTGCAAAAGACCTGACGAGCAGTTGAGTCTGAATGAGACCATCGCAGCAATGGAACCAGTTAGCGGAGGATATCCATCAGTGCAAAAGGCACACACATTTCCCATGCGCATTTGGCAGCTCTCCTGGAAACTGCTAGCAGCAGGTGTCCGCAACAATGCGCTCCTATTCAGCGGCCGTTGCTACCAAAGTTCATTTCTGCAGTGGCCTCTTTTTGTGACTGCAACATGATTCAGCGACTCATAAGAAGAAGAGGAGTTTGGATTTGATATCCCGCTTTATCACCACCCGAAGGAGTCTCAAAGTGGCTAACATTCTCCTTTCCCTTCCTCCCCCACAACAAACACTCTGTGAGGTGAGTGAGGCTGAGAGTCTTCAAAGAAGTGTGACTAGCCCAAGGTCACCCAGCAGCTGCATGTGGAGGAGCGGAGACGCGAACCCGGTTCCCCAGATTACGAGTCTACCGCTCTTAACCACTACACCACACTGGCTCTCTGAATGAGCCTGAATGAGAACTTGCCCTGTCACTTGGTGGAAAGGGGTTTCATAAAAATCGTAGAATTGTTGGAAGGGACCCTAAGGGACATCTAGTCCAGCCCCCTGCAATGTAGGAATTTCAACCCAGGGTTTCAAACCAGCCAACCACCTTGAGCAAAGGTTAAAAAGGCGACAAGAACATGTTTTTAGAACTCAGCTGCCGCTAGATGCCTTGGTGATATAATTCTAACCCCGTGACTCCAATTATTAATTCAGTGTTACAAGCGTATCAGGGTGCATGTTCTAAATTGAGACCCCTTTTAACAGCTGGAGTTAGTTCAAATGAAATGGAGCCCATGAGGCCGTTATGGTTTGACAAAGAATGTAGCACATTGAGGAGGAAGGTGAGGAAACAGATGTAGAGAGCTCATGCTTCTCCCAGAGGCCTAGTGCAAGGTGCTATGTGAAAACTTTGATGAGATTACACAAAAATTGCAGCCAAGAAAACCAGTTCTCCCATTGCCCTGAAACTAGCTGCAATGGGATGCTTTCAGGCTTATTTCTGGCATTTAGCTTCTAGTAAACTTTGGGAAGGAAAGCTTTGATAAACCTAGAGCTGTTTCAAACACAGGAAATCATAGAATTGTCGGGCTGGAAGGGATCCCAAGGGTCATCTAGTCCAACCCCCTGCAGGCTTGAACCACCAACCTTCTGGTTAGCAGCCAGAACGTCTTTAACAGCCACACAAACTCTTCTGACACACCTTTGGGCTTGGCAAACGATCAGTGGCAAGATTAGTACTGTACACTCATCCGACTGTGGAAAAATAATTCACAGGAAGATTCTACTGGAAACGACACGGTCCTGGCTTCGCCATGTTGGGAATCACCTGCAGTTTTGTAAGAGAAAGGCTTCAATGGAGCCTTAGAAAAGGATGAGCTCTGGGGCTTTGTGTCATCGGCTGTTCCTTACCTTGAAGCAGCAGCTCCCGCAGGCTCTTCCAGGAAATGCTTTGGAGACCACGAAAAGTAAAAACCAGGACACCTCGAAAATATATTTGTACAATTACAGTAACGCCAAGAAAACAGATGTTTTTACACCTTTGAAATCATGGACGTTACCGGGCATATGAAAGCCCTAGGGGAACCCAGCTTCCAATCTGGTTTTTACGTGGTGCTTGTTCAATACACTCTGCTCTGAAATGACTTTGTAATCAGGACCCAAATTCCAGTGGGTGTGGATAGCTTAGTAGTGGTGAAAGGGTCTTGCAAATCTGGGGTGCATGTTGATGCCTGGGATCCTTAACTCTCTCTCCCCCCCTCAAAGCCATATCACACTACTATCAAGGTTTGCACCCAAGGTGGTCTGGCTCAACCAGTGATTTAGGGTTGGCATATCTCCTCTTTTTCAGGGGTATCATTTCTGTCCGGGCGAATTTTTAAAATTTGGAAAAAATATCTGGGATTTGTTTGTTTCTCCCTTCCTGCTGGGCTGCCTCCTTCTGCTTCTCCTTTATCAACTTGATTGGGGGGAGAGAGAAAAAGGAAGGTTTACTTCTGTGGGGAGGGGAACGTGAATCAGCCATGGATCTCTTTCTTGCCTGCTTATTGGATTTCGAGGTACCTGTTTCGTATCATCATCCTGTATATATATCACAGCTTCTATAGCCTACGTACAGCAGGGGTATTTAAAATGAGCATCATTATAGCCACCCGCAGTCAAAAGTAGAAGTAGGCAAATGTGTCCTCTTTTTTGCTCTTCAAAATATGGCAGCCCTAGCATAGAGCTAACCTATAATGAAACCCAGACACTGTTGTCATTATTGACACCAGTATAACCAGTATAAACCAGAAGTGACTCCCGACTCCCACTGGTGTGGTCAATACAGATGACCATTCTCAGTCGGACTCTTAGGTTTCCCTCCCCTTATGGTTTTGATCTATGGGCTACTTTTAAAATGAGGCTGCATTTTAACTTGCATTTTAAATTGGCTCCCCCCCCGTTATGTTTTTACTGTAATTTTACTGGTGTTAGCCGCCCTGAGCCCAGCTGAATTATTATTCAGCTGCACATGATAGGTGGCAAAAGTCTTTGTACTTCTTTGCCAAGACAAACGCCACTAAACTCTTTCCAGGTGGGAGCTCTCTAGGGGGCTCTAAGTTCAAGTCAATGTTCTATACATCTGTTTGGGGAACAGATTGTTTGAAAGCTGAAAGTGGTTTGTGGAGAAGTTGGCTTCAGCTCAGGCCAGTGGTTCTCAAAGGGTGTGGCAGGAGAGGACAGCAAGGTGTGGCGATAAAATTCAAGGACGATCAAAGAAACATTTCAGTGTAGTATAGTATCGAAATATGTTTTTATTTGCAGAATATGAATAGGTATCTTTTCAAAATGAGAGCAAGAGCGATACTGAGGACAACATTGTTGTGAACAGGGATTTTCAACTCGGAGGAATATGAAAGACCAGAAAAGAGAAAGGTTTCTTTGTGTTGATGTGGAGGTGAGAGTTTGTCTGTCTCAAATTAGACAGGATATAAATGAGATTACCTGGCCAAAGCAAGCTCACAGCTCTCACTGAGTTTGTATACGTGCTTAAGGTACATATGTAAGAGGCTTGTTTATTATTATAGTTTGGGAATGGTTCATGTTCTTATGTAGCTGCATTGTTTCATACTTTCTGGATATCTAATGATCATATTATAAAGTAGTTGTGTTGTGTCATAAATCAAGCACTGCTAGTTGTTTCTTTTTGTTTTCCAATGTATTTCTTCGGATTGAAAAGAAATGGTGTGCATGAGCAAATCTTTATTTTGAAAGTGTGGCCCAGAGATAGAAGTTTGACAGCCACTGGATTAAACCCTCAAAAGGCCCAGACAACAGAAGGCCAGCCAGTCTCTAAGAGCACACAGGGGTATTTTGGGGCTTGTTGTCAGCCAGCACACTTGAAAACGAGGTGATGGCAGAGCTAAACCAGTCGATATATCGTAATGAATGAGGGTTCAAACCCCAGGCCAATTGGCTTTTCGTCCACACACCCACCCACACCCCGGTCAATGTGATCCACGTTAACGTTGCTGTAAAAGAAATACGCAGGCCACTTACAAAAAAAAGCATTTACTTAGTCAACAAAAAATAAATACAAGATATTAAGACATTCAGAATGAAGGCAGCATGGAGTTACAGCTACTGAAAACAAACAGAAGGGAAACGGCAACTTTTGCTCTGGCCTGCCTTAGCAGCCCTGATATATTCATGTGGCAGATCTGCAGGGGGGGCAGCGTGTCATTTTTGGCACATAAGGGCTTTGCCCCTAAAGCTAAGACACCAACTGCGTGCACTCGCAGGGGAAAAAAAACCACAACGGCAGCGGATACTGTTTTAAGCAGTAGACAGACACCACGCTCTGAGCAGCTGTACGGTTGCATCCTAGGCAGGTGTTTGTTCTGGGCAGAAAGTGCCCTGGCAAGACTTTGCCCCAGAGGACCTGAGGGCACAAGTTGGCAATGCGAGCTGCACCATCACACCTGGATTACGAGGGGCGCACCGGACCAAGACCTCTTTATTTAACACACCTATCCCACGGCCGCACCCTTGCTGCTTGGGGTTAAACAGGCGATATATATTGCCATATACTAAGTCAGACCGGCGCTGTATCAAGGCTAGCTTTGCTTACTCTGGCTGGCAGCAGCGCTCCAAGGTCCCACGTCTCAAACAGCTGGCAATCCTTTTAGTAGGAAATGCCAGGGGTTGTTTCAGGGGCCTCATGAATGCCAATCACATGTCCCCCCCCCATCTCTTAATGCATGTAGCTGTTCTTCCAACAACCTACTTAGCCTTGTGTGCCACTTACGCACGTTCCTTTGAAAAGCATGCCACCTCTGTGATAAACGTTCTGTTAGAAGAATGCCATGTGGAAGCTAACAGGAGTAGGGAACCTGTGGCTCCCTGTATACTGGTTGCCCACTAGAGGTGTTGGGACTTCCAACTTCCACCAGACCAATCTCCAAGCCAGAATCAGGGAGCAGGGTGGAAACTGCAGCCTTGCAACAGGAGAGCCACAGATTTCTGCACCCCTCCTTTACATGGGCACCAAACATGGTGGGCACAGCTGCCTTGACCGCCAACTTAAGAAGGTGGCCTAAGGTGGCAATGCCTTGGGCCCCTGACCCTGATCACTTACATATATTTGCAAGAGCCTACGAAGCTCTCTCCAGTCCTGCAAGAAATAAAATAAAGGAGAGCAAGACCAATTATGGATGTTTGTCGGTTCTCCTACTTGTGCCAGCTGGGGAAAAGCCAGAAAAGGGATGAGATTGGCATCAGGCTGGCGACGTTGGACTCTCCCTCAAAATGGCTTTTGGGCAGCTAACAGGTAAGAGCTGCTAAGCAATGGGACCAAGAGTCCTAAAGCATACATGGTGCCTTAAAAGAATAAAAGGAACTCAACAGCTTTTGGAGATCATATCTGGTTTAGGCCAAAACCTGACTGCCAATCAGCTTGGCCACTTACAGGAGACGTTTAAGACGCATTCCTTGAGAAGGGTAGAAGCAGCAAAAAAACACAAAACAAAAACCTTTGTAAAGCAACGCCAGTGAGAAACTTCCATTAGCTTCCAAACAATTTTTTTATCTTAAAAACAAAACCACCTCTTGCAAGCTGAGCACGTTCCAAAATAGCCAGAGACCAAGTTCTGATGCGATTCGGCAAATCCCAGTCGCATCAGAAGAAGCCAGCATGTTTAATGGGATGTGTCAAAACTGCATCACACACAGAGAAGGTGCAGAGCGAGCCGATTGCGTGTCTTTTACAACAAAAGTGGGCTACATACACCTCACAGAGCCAGGCACAAACACTTCTGGTCAGCGTTCAGGCAGATGGCTCATACTTTTACATCAGTTCGGTTCTCCCACCACCACTTCCCTCTTTGCAGAGAATTTGCATCTCAAATGTACTATAAGATGTGGGTAACTCAGCCACCATCTAGTCTATTCTAGTGGCAGAAAGTGAAAGTGTGCTTGGTACTTTATATATATACTTTTGCAGATAGACAATAGGATACATCTACTATTTAAGCCATGTATGAATATTACACCAAATAACCCCAGACGTTTTTATATGGACTCGAGGGGCTGTGTTATTCACATGTTGTAATAAATTTGTGATTTGTAAAAAAAAATATCTGTATAGTAACTTTTAAAACCCTCTCCCTTGCTTTGAGCTGGATAGGACTGCGTGTGGGTTGTGAACAGACTCACCTCCCAAAGCTCTCTCTGCAACACTGGACTGCTTTGCCGTCTCTGCTTAGATTGATGGCACTCACAACTTCTGGCCTTTTGACAGCAACGAGCCATTAATTGGGCCATGCATGTTAAACACGCCCCGGCCTGCCATCACCCTAATGTATAGTCATTCACGGCGGCCTAAGTTGGTAGGGAAAATGTGGAATGCTTAAGACGATCTCAGATCCAGGCCACTAAAGTCACTCCTATCTATTTATTGTTGAAATTTATATCCTGCTTTCTGTAAAAAAAATATGTTCACAGTGGCTAAGCACTCCACATGCTATGGCCAGATGGGACTCCTAAGCAATAAATGGGCGTTCAGGCATGTGAAGACTGCAAGGGATCTCTTTAATTCTATTTCTAATGCCCGGCTATCTTGCCCCTCTTTATGATTATCCTATCCATCCCCTTGAAGGCGAAGGGATGGAGGTCACGCTTTTCCCACAGAGGGGGGTTGGTTGGTCCCTGGCAAACCAAATGTAAAACAAAATGAGACAATACCTCAAGCATACCTCGATAGAGACCTGCTTCCACAAAAAAATTGGGATGGGGGAAACAAGAGGCCGGACTGGTCAAGCTATTACCAAAAAATGGACAAGGGAGCTGCATTTGCTTCAAATAAAGTCGATGGTTTTGCAAGGAGGCTCCTTTATTCCTATCCCTCCCCCATTTCTCCAAAGCTGAAGAAACCTGGGCCCAACCCAACAGGACCCTCTGCTGCGCAAACTCCACCAAAATGAACGGTCGGATGCTGCACAACTTAACAGTGCTTTTTAACGGCGTTGCATTAACGGAAGAGCAACTTTCCCTTCCCAACGGCTATTCCAGACATTGGGATACTCCAACTATAGGGGTTTGTTGCTTCAACAGCAGCCCTCGAACCCAGAACCTTGCAGGGCGGCCCAGTCTTCTAAGTTAGGGAGAGAAAAACCCCTGATCTTGAACACTATTTATAAGCCACTGGTTTGTTTGTTTTCCTTTTAAAATAAAAGGCCGATATGCAGAATCTCTTTTGGTTTTTTAAAAGGCTTTACTCCCTCAAGGAAAAAAAAAAGATTTACAAAACAAAAACAGCCTGCATCAACTCTCCAGGAGAGAGATTTGACAATATTAATCCAAATATCACGCTATTTAATTCCCCAATAAAACATTGGAAAAAAAGTGCCTACAATCTCTTTCTAACACTTTTGCTACATATAAAATCTCCAGCTAATAGGAATCTTATGGTACCAACCCTCTAAAACAGTTAAGATATATACACATTTTTGGGGGGGCAGGGGGTATTAACAAACAGAATATTACAAAGTATTAAAGAAGGCAACTCTTCTGTTGGGTGATTTTCATCTTCACTTGAAGTTGGCGTAGTCTGAAAAGGCGTCAATATATTCCTGAACCACTTTGTAGCAGAATTCGTACTGTTCCTGGAGATTAGGCAGAAAAGAAAAGGCTGAGTTGGTCACGGAATGAATCGTCACTCTTCAGAGATGCTGTGGTCGCAAGGAAACCTGCCTATTAATTACAGGATGACCAAAACCAGGTAGCCCAATGTCAAACGCTACTTTCAACAGACCATCTAGCTTAGCCCTGTTTAGACAAGTGTTCTTCAACCCTGATATGACAGATATTGCTGGACTGAAACTTGCATCATCCCTGAACACTGGCTAAGCTAGCTGGGGAGACGGAGACTGTAGTCTAACATCACCTGGTGGCCCAAGCTTGAGGGATGCTCAATCTGCACAGACTGGCAGCAGCTCTGCGATGTTTTTGACAGGTGTCCTCTCCAGCCCTACCTGGAAACACCATGGGTTGGAGCTGGGACCTTCTACACACAGACCTTGCACATCACCATCACAATTCGATGTCCGCTGGCCATCAGTGGATGGCTGGCGGTTGGAGGGTTTGACCTGGATGGTGTTTTGGTTCCTCCAACTCTAAATTTTTGGCTTTGAGCAGAAACAGCCATTTTCACAACCAGAAACTGACATTGGCCATAGCAAGAGGCACTCTTAGCTCAGTGGCAGAGACCTGGGGTGTGTGTGTGTGTAAGAGGGCTTGTTGCATTCAGGCCTGCTTATGGGTGACCCTGTAGGCTATGACCTTATGGGCTAGAAAGTCTTTGTATCCCAGTTCCTTACGCAGGTACAAGAGAGAGAGGAAAGAGATGGGTCTCAGATGGGTGGGAGGGAATGAGAGGAACAGCTCAGTCTTGCAGGAGGGAATTTCTTGCTGCTCCACCCACTCAGCCACCCAGTCTCACCCACCCACTCACTCACTCACTCCACAAACAGCAGCCCATGCCTACCAGTGTTTGGACCATGTGCGGCCTCTGTAACCTCAAACTCTTCACTGTCTGAAAGACATCTAGAATTCCTTCAGCCTTGACTCTCTCCAAAACAGTGCCCAACGCACAGAAGGTCCCTGTTCGGCCGGCTCCAGCACTGGGGGGAAACAAAAGACAAAACAGCAACACACCTGTGAGTGACAAACACAGGCCTTCCTGTTGCCTGAACCGCTCCGCTGTCAAGCAGCTCTTTCTGACGGTAAGAGCTGCTGACGGAAGAATAGACCCCCTTAGGATATGGCGGACTCTCCTTCCTTGGAGGTTTTCAAGCAGAGGTTGGATGGCCATCTGTCAGGGGTGCTTCAAGCTGAGATTCCTGCATTGAAGTGGGGTTGGACTAGATGACCCTCGGGGTACCCTCCAACTCTACAATTATATGATGGAATAATAATAATAATAATTTATTATTTATACCCCACCCATCTGACTGGGTTTCCCCAGCCACTCTGGGCTGCTTCCAACTGAATATTAAAAACAATACAGAATCAAACATTAAAAACTTCCCTAAACAGGGCTGCCTTCAGTTGTCTTTTAAAAGTAAAATAGTTGTTTATTGCCTTGACATCTGCTGGGAGGGCATTCCACAGGGCAGGTGCCACTACCGAGAAGGCCCTCTGCCTGGTTCCCTGTAATCTCACTTTTCGCAGTGAGGGAACTGCCAGAAGGCCCTCGGTGCTGGACCTCAGTGTCCGGGCTGAACAATGGGGGTGGAGACGCTCCTTCAGGTATACAGGACCGAGGCCGTTTAGGGCTTTAAAGGTCAGCACCAACACTTTGAATTGTGCTCGTAAACGTACTGGGAGCCAATGAAGATGGAAGAGACGTGGAATCCCATAGGGCACCTCCTGTAGGTATTTAAAGCTCTTTTGTGGAGAAAGGCTAGAGTATGGGTCGGCAAACTAAGGCCCGCGGGCTGGATCAGGCCCAATTGACTTCTGATCTGCCAGTGCTTGCATTCTTTCCCTCTCCCTCACACGGTGGCGCCACCCCCCTCCACCCCTCCTCCTGGCTTCTCTCTGCCCTGTCTAGAGGAGGAAGGGGGCAGCAGTAGCAGCGCTCGAGCGGCCGCCATTTTAAGCAGCCCTTTCACGCGCCGCTCATCGTCCCTCCACCGCCGCCAGCCCCTGCCGCTTGCAAGACACAGGTAAGCAGCCACTGGGGCCCATAGTGCTCTTGCATCATTCCCCGCCCCCCCCCAAAAATATAGTCCGGCCCCCCATAGGTCTGAGGGACAGTGGACCGGCTTCCTGCTGAAAAAGTTTGCTGACCCCTGGGCTAGAGGAAAGACCAGTGGGAATGTCACTCTATTTAAGGATGAAAGTTAGGTCAAACCAGTTACTGAAGTCACCAACTCACCAAAAAAGAGAAAGAGGGATGTATGTGCACTGATAATTGGGCTTGTGTAGATGCAGATGCAATTCCTTGTCGCCCATTAAGAGGTCAGTTGCCCGCTGCAGAATTGCATGCTCCCTATCTCTATCCTGGGACGCGGGTGGCGCTGTGGGTAAAAGCCTCAGCGCCTAGGACTTGCCGATCGAAAGGTCGGCGGTTCAAATCCCTGCGGCGGGGTGCGCTCCCGTCGCTCGGTCCCAGCGCCTGCCAACCTAGCAGTTCGAAAGCACCCCCGGGTGCAAGTAGATAAATAGGGACCGCTTACTAGCGGGAAGGTAAACGGCGTTCCGTGTGCTGCGCTGGCTCGCCAGATGCAGTTTGTCACACTGGCCACGTGACCCGGAAGTGTCTGCGGACAGCGCTGGCTCCCGGCCTATAGAGTGAGATGAGCGCACAACCCTAGAGTCTGGCAAGACTGGCCCGTATGGGCAGGGGTACCTTTACCTTTACCTTTTTATCTCTATCCTGGGTTCAAATTCCAACCCCATCTCCTGATCTGTGGCCCAAGGGAAATACTGGCACCAATCTTAACAGCGGTTACTGTCTAACCAGGACCTGAACCCAATCCCTGCTACCCTTAGGAGCCTTTGTGGCAACTTCATGCAACGTACTCCTTGCCACTAAAGCACCTCTTGGGTAGCATGTTTTGCCAATTCTTGCTGCCCGGAAATCTCGCAGCCTGTTTGATTACCTGCAGTGCACAGTAATGGGGTGGTTTCCAGACTGTTGCTGCTGCTTTTGCACAGCTGCAATGATGTTGATCATTCCTTTTCCATCAGTGGGGATGCCCACCTCCGGCCAGCCGTGGAAGTGGAACTGTCTGATCTGCCGGGTTTTGTTTTCCTGGTCAGGGGGGGAAAAAGGAAAATCTCAGAAAAGCCTGAATCTGAATCCAGGCAGACTCAGGAACGGGGACTCACTTCCTCTGAAACCTCTGGAAATGGTCAAGCAGGCAAGCAATAGCGAGCTTACTCCACTCGCTTTGCTAACCGCATTCTTCACAAAGTTGTTGCCTTGTGAAGAATATTTTTGGAGGACTGCTAGCATCCTGAGATGCATTTGCAGAAGGAATTAAAAGTTATCTCTCCAAGTATAAAAATTGGGTATACGGTGGTGCCTCGCAAGACGAAAATAATCCGTTCCGCGAGTCTCTTCGTCTAGCGGTTTTTTCGTCTTGCGAAGCAACCCTATTAGCGGCTTAGCGGATTAGCGCTATTAGCGGTTTAGCGGCTATTAAAGGCTTAGCGGCTAGGCTAAAAGGCTATTAGCGGCTTAGAAAAAGTGGGGGGGGGGAAGCGAAAAAAATCTCAAGACTCGCAAGACGTTTTCGTCTTGCAAAGCAAGCCCATAGGGAAATTCGTTTTGCGAAGCGCATCGAAAAACAGAAAACCCTTTCGTCTAGCGGGTTTTTCGTCTTGCGAGGCATTCGTCTTGCGGGGCACCACTGTACAGCAAGAAAAGCACATGCCCTTAACCAGGCTACATACTCCTAGGACAGAGCTTTCCAAAATTTTCATGTTGGTGACATGCTTTTTGGACATGCATCATTTCACAACACAGTACAGTGGTACCTCGGGTTACAGATGCTTCAGTTTACATACTCCGCTAATCCAGAAATAGTACCTCGGGTTAAGAACTTTGCTTCAGGAAGAGAACAGAAATTGTGCTCCAGCGGCACGGAGGCAGCAGGAGGCCCCATTAGCTAACGTGGTGCTTCAGGTTAAGAACAGTTTCAGGTTAAGAACGGACCTCCGGAACGAAGTAAGTGCTTAACCCGAGGTACCACTGTAATTCAGTCTTACTAGCAAACCGGAGGATAAGCTAACCCCTTTCCAGCACAGGAAGCATCTGAGTGATGCGCCGACACACTAACGTGTCGCGGTACACAGTTAGAAAAACTCAGTCCTAGGAGCTAACAAAAGGGATTGTTGTTTTTTTAAAAATTTTAAAAATACTTTTCAAGTTTATACATTTCACAAATTTTACAATCATTTTGACATTTCAAAACTTGACTTCCTCCCCCCCCCTTCTGCTGTTCCTTAAAATTTATTTTTAATATCTTCTGCATATCCAAATTAACTTACCATATTTTTCGCCCTATAGGACGCACTTTCCCCCCTCCAAAAATGAAGGGGAAATGTGTGTGCGTCCCATGGGGCGAATGCAGGCTTTCGCTGAAGCCTGGAGAGCGAGAGGGGGCGGTGCGCAGGAGAGCCCCAGCGCCAGCCCCACAAGGTCGGGGGACAGAGGGAGGCGGAACGCCGCCATCCCGCTGTCTCCCAAAGTGGATTGGAGGCTGACGGCAGGGAGACCCCGCCGCCAGCCCCGCAAGCTCCGGGGACAGTGGGGAGGCGCAGCGCGTCTCCCCGCTGTCCCCGGACCTGGTCTGAAGGCGGGCGGCGGGGAGAAGAGCGCTGGGGGGGAAAAAATAAATTCCCCCCCCCTTTATTTCCCCCCAAAAAACTTGATGCGTCCTATGGGCCGGTGCGTCCTATGGGGCGAAAAATACGGTAATTTGCTCATTTATTCATCTCCTTTAACTATATACTCTTATGAAACTGCAGGTTATTACAATAATCCTGCCAATGTTCTTATCGGTTTACAATTTATCTGTAAGTATTCAATAAACCATTTCCATTCTTTTATAAATGGAATTTTATATCTTGAGTTCTTATTCTTCCAGTAAGTTTCGCCATTTCTGCATATTCCATAAGTTTTTGAATCCATTCTTCCTTTGCTGGGACTTCTGCTTCTTTCCATTTTGAGGCAAGTAACATTCTTGCCGATGAGCAAAAGGGATTGTTGATAGCAAAGGACTGGGAGGGAAACTTTGGCTCCCAGAAGACAATGCAGCATTCTGCATTAAGTGGAGATGGAGAGAAACAAAGGCTTCCCCGTGGCTAATTTGCATCTCTGGAGTGGGCAACAAACATTCACCGTTTCCCATTAACACTGGTAAGAAGGAGAAGCGTAGGACCTGGGAAGTCACTTCTCCCAGCATGCACAAGTTGCCCCAGCACCTACCCTGGTATTTGATACTAGCAGGTCCCGGACTGTGTAACTCTCACACTCCTCCTCTTTCTTCAACTCCACGGTTATATCCCCATAGGACACAGAACCGTCAGAAGGCCAATACTGGGCACATTTCTCCTGAGCAGTCAGAAAGCAGACAAGACAACAAAGGGGAAAGCATTTAGACAGACAACAGAAAAATAATCTCTCAAAGGACCTGTGGATGGCATTTTACCACTGTACTGTGGAGAGTGTTAATAATTAACTTATGGTCTGTGCGTGTGGTTTGGGAGCTGCACGGTCAGGGAAAAAACAATTCTGTCCATGGTTGTAAAGACTGCGGAGAGAAGAATCGGGTGCACTCTTCCCACCTTGGATCTAATCTATGCTTCCAGGTGCCATAAGAAAGCTGCAGAGATAGCGCAGGATAGTGCGCACCCCGGAAATGATCTCTTTCAGCTTCTGCCTTCTGGAAGAAGGTATAGGGTTATAAAGGCCAGGACTAGCCGCCTGAGAAATAATTTCTATCCAAATGCAATTTTGGTTTTAAACGCAGTGTAAGGAGTCTCTATGGGAGTGTATTGTATTTTTAAAATGGGGTATCAGAGTTTTTAGGGGGCTAACCAGGCTGGGATAGCAGGCTTGTTGGTTTTGAATATCTTTTGTAGATTTTTTTTTTCAATTTCATTGTTCTGTATGCAACAATGACAATAAAGATTATCGTATCGTATCCTCTAGAACGGTGTTCCCCAACCTTGGGCCTCCAGCTGTTTTTGGACTACAACTCCCATCATCCCTCGCTAGCAAGACCAGTGGTCAAGGATGATGGGAATTGTAGTCCAAAAACAGCTGGAGGCCCAAGGTTGGGGAACACTGCTCTAGAAGACCAAGCATGAGTTCCTCCCTGGCCTCCTTTCTGCCTCCCCCCCCCACCCCAGTTTTTCTCAGGAGGGGGAACACGTGACAGTTCTGAGGAAGGCAATGGTCCTTTATAAAAAGGGCAGCCTGGGACATATATTGCAGTGCTGAGAATTCTGAGCGCAAAGGTATGGGGACAGGGACCAAGCCTGCATAGGTGTTCTTGCTAGATGTAGTGCTTACCTCATTTATCCTCTTGCTGGCTGAAAAGACACGGCGAACTGATGAATCTGCCTTATGCCCTGCCGGACTACTGCACTGCCTACCCGAGAAGCAGCTCTCCAAGGTCTCAGGCAGAGGTCTGTCTTAGACCCGTTGCCTGGGATCCTTTTAAAGTACAGGTGACGGGGACCAAACACGAGGCCTTTCACACCCACAGCGTGTGCTCTGTCACACTCCAAGAAGGACAACGTCAACAATGTCTAGGCAACACGATGACCATATACATACTTAATAGACAATCTTTATAGAATTCCTTTAAATCATAATGTAGCAGTGACTACATTAATACATGAGCACTGTTCCACAGCATTTGATATTTTCATTTATATACATTCATTCGAAATAAGATGGGTTCATGAAGCATTCTATACCCACCCACCACGTTGATGAAGAATTCTACGAAACAGTAGTCAATATCCGGAATTACTGTTCAGTGTTGGACATCATTGTTGAATACACAAAGCTTCACAGCTTGTTTTCCACTGTACAAAGTCTGGTACCTCCCTTCATTTGAAGATTTTCAGAGACTTTGAGACTAAAGATTTCATTTTGAACTTTTTATGATTTGAAGGAATTCTATAAAGATTGTCTATTACGTATGTATATGGTCATCGTGTTGCCTAGACATTGTTGACGTTCTCTTTGCAACACAGGGGTTGGTTTGGACACTCCAAGAAGGGTACAGGGCTCTACAGTTTCTCCCAATGGTTGCGTAGCGGGAGAGACTGAAGCCCATTAAAGGATTCAGCATCTTTGACGCTGAGCAATAATGCAATCATTACTGCAATGCTTAGGAAGCTTTAGCTGGTGCAGAATTTGGTGGCCAGGTTCCTCATCGGGGCAAGACGGTTTGGGCATCTCACACCAATCCTGGCCCGATTGCACTGCCAGTTAGTTTCCGGGCCCAATTCAAAGTGCTGGTTTTAAACCATAAAGGCTCAGGACCGCAACATCTCAAGGACCTCCTCTCTCCATATGAACTGACCCAGACTCTGTGTTCATCACCTGAGACCCTTTTATGTGTGCCTCCTACACGTGAGATCCAGAGGGTGGCAACACGAGAACAGGGCCTTTTCTGCAGTGGCTCCCTTTCTGTGGAATGCTCTCCCCAGGGAGGTTTGCCTGGCGCCTTCATTATGTATTTTTATGCGCCAGGTGAAAATGTTCCTCTTCAACCAGGCCTTGGTCCGCCCCCGCCACTTAATGGATCCAATTGGCTTCCAGAGAGTGGTAGGGGATGTTTTATCCCAGGTTTATGGCCTTTCAGCTGATTCCCTGGTGGCCCGCTGGAATGCGGAGTTAGCCAGGGCTATTGACTGTCTGGCTCTGAAGCACCCTCTCCGATTGCATGGAGCCCGGACAGCCCCGTGGTTTTCCCCGGAGCTGAGGGCGATGAAACAATCGTTGAGACGGCTAGAGCGCTGGTGGCAGAAAACTCATTCTGAATCAGACCGGACACGGGCTAGAGCTCAACGTCGAGCCTACCAAGTGGCAATGGCGACGGCGAAGAGGGCCTTCTTCGCTGCCTCCATTGCATCTGCAGAAAACAGCAGCAGGAAACTTTTTCAGGTGGTTCGCAATCTATCGGAACCACCTGCACCACCGGGGCCTGGTAGGGACCCCAAGATCTCCTGCAATGCTTTTGCAAAGTTTTTTGCAGATAAAGTCGCTCAGATTCAGAAGGAGGTAGACTCCACCGTGGGAGCAGGGCCAGGGCAGGAGAGTGCTAGAGTTCTGTCTAGTCCTGTTACATGGGATCAATTCCAATCTGTTACCTCTGAGGATGTGGACAGGCTGCTTGGACAAGTGAAACCGACCACCTGTCTCCTTGATCCTTGCCCATCCTGGCTGATAAAAGCGAGCCGGGAAGGGCTGGGCGATGGGCTCTGCAGGGTGGTGAATGCTTCCCTCTGTGAGGGAGCCTTCCCAGACCCGCTGAGAGAGGCGGTCATTAAACTGCTTCTTAAAAAAACATCTTTAGACCCAGCCAAATTGGCCAACTATCGCCCAGTCTCAAATTTACCATTCTTGGGCAAGGTGATTGAGCGGATGGTTGCCAAACAACTCCAAGCACACCTGGAGGATGCGGACCATTTGGATCCCTTCCAATCGGGATTCAGGCCTCACCATGGGACCGAAACTGCCTTGGTCGTGCTGGTTGATGATCTCCGGCGGGCTAGGGACAAAGGTGAGAGCTGTTTCCTAGTTCTGCTGGATCTCTCAGCGGCCTTTGACACCATCGACCATAACATCCTTCTGGACCGTCTAGAGGGGCTAGGAGCTGGGGGCACTGTTATACGGTGGTTCCGCTCCTTTCTCCTGGGCCGTGTCCAGAAAGTGGTGGTGGCGGATGAGTGTTCAGACCCCTGGGCTCTCACTTGTGGGGTGCCTCAGGGTTCCGTCCTCTCCCCCATGCTTTTTAATATCTATATGAAGCCGCTGGGAGAGATCATCAGGGGGTTTGGGCTGGGTGTTCATCAGTATGCAGATGACACCCAGCTCTACCTCTCCTTTAAATCAGAACCAGTGAAGGCGGTGAAGGTCCTGTGTGAGTGCCTGGAGGCTGTTGGAGGATGGATGGCGGCTAACAGATTGAGGCTGAATCCTGACAAGACAGAAGTACTGTTTTGGGGGGACAGGGGGTGGGCGGGTGTGGGGGATTCCCTGGTCCTGAATGGGGTAACTGTGCCCCTGAAGGACCAGGTGCACAGCCTGGGAGTCATTTTGGACTCACAGCTGTCCATGGAGGCACAGGTTAATTCTGTGTCCAGGGTAGCTGTCTACCAGCTCCACCTGGTACGCAGGCTAAGACCCTACCTGCCCGCAGACTGTCTTGCCAGAGTGGTGCATGCTCTAGTTATCTCCCGCTTGGACTACTGCAACGCGCTCTACGTGGGGCTACCTTTGAAGGTGACCCAGAAACTGCAATTAATCCAGAATGCGGCAGCTGGACTGGGGACTGGGAGTGGCCGCCGGGACCACATAACACCAGTTCTGAGAGATCTGCATTGGCTCCCAGTACGTTTCTGAGCACAATTCAAAGTGTTGGTGCTGACCTTTAAAGCCCTAAACGGCCTCGGTCCTGTATACCTGAAGGAGCGTCTCCACCCCCATTGATCAGCCCGGACACTGAGATCCAGTGCCGAAGGCCTTCTGGCAGTTCCCTCATTGTGAGAAGTAAGGTTACAGGGAACCAGACAGAGGGCCTTCTCGGTAGTGGCGCCTGCCCTGTGGAACGCCCTCCTAGCAGATGTCAAGGCAATAAACAACTATTTTACTTTTAAAAGACAACTGAAGGCAGCCCTCTTTAGGGATGTTTTTAATGTCTGATGCTGTCCTTTTTTAATATTCAGTTGGAAGCCGCTCAGAGTGGCTGGGGAAACCCAGCCAGATGGGCGGGGTATAAATAACAAATTATTATTATTATTATTATTATTATTATTATTATTATTATTATTATTATTGTTATTAGGATGATTAATATTACATAGCCTTTTAAATGTTTCTGTGCGAAGGGGGGATTATTGTTTTCCTGCTTGGGTTACACTTATTTACTTGTTTTTATCCTGTATTTTATTCTGTAAACCACCCTGAGATCTTATTATGAAGGGCAGTATATAAATCAAATAAATAAAGAAAATTATCCGAGTTAAAGGTTTTTTGTTTTTGTTTTTTTAAAAAAACCAAATGGGAGCTATGCTCAGACTTGAGTGTACAATGCAACACTTTGTACTTTGTAGTGCAATTTATCCAGACAGAGGAAAACCAGGGGCATATATATGCACTAAGCAGCTCAAAGTGGCCAAAGGCAGGCTTAGAGGACCAGGCACACTGAAGTTTCTGCATCAGAACTGCACCACCTGCCTTCAAGCTCCCTGGAGACAATTCTTGCCCACTTCCCATTTGGCTCACCTGACCCCTTTCTTCCAGCTCAGTCAACATAACAATGGAGCAGGACTTCCACTCCCAGATCATCCTCCAGAAGTCCTCTGTCGTGTGCTGGAGAGGGCCTTGGCTGGCTATGTAGGAATCCTTTTGGCGATAGCCCTGGAATTTTAAGACATGGTTACTAGGAAGGGACGCAGCAGCAAGACTAGGCATACCCAAAGGCCAGAGAAATAGCTCCAGTAACATCTAACAACTATATATATATTCTCTCTTTCTTCCTCCCTCCATTCAAGAAGAGGACACAGAGAGAAAGGAGCTTAGCCACTGGAATGAGCCCAGCAAAGGCAGGAAATTGAATTCCCAGGTAAAAGGCCTACCGTCATGAAAGGGCTTTACAACCCAGATACTTGACAAGTAATGAGAGGAAGGAGGTTAAATGAAGCGAGCGCTGATGCAGTTCTCTGCTTAACATTGACACAGACTGACACCACAATACCGAAGACCACACTACGGTAATTAATGCAAGCTTAGTCAATCTAGAATGACCATGGCTCTGTTTTCATACAACAATCGTGGATTAGACTCTCCATCCCTCCTATGCCTTTCCTGCTCTTTAAAGCCACCCTGGTTGCAGGAATATAAGGCATGTAATTGATGCCTTTGAATTATGGTGGTGGAGGAGACTCTTGAGAGTCCCATGGACTGCAAGATGTTCAAACCTCTCCATTCTTAAGGAAATCAGCCCTGAGCGCTCACTGGAAGGACAGATCCTGAAGCTGAGGCTCCAAGACTTTGGCCACCTCATGAGAAGAGAAGACTCCCTGGAAAAGACCCTGATGTTGGGAAAGATGGAGGGCACAAGGAGAAGGGGACGACAGAGGACAAGATGGTTGGACAGTGTTCTCAAAGCTACCAGCATGAGTTTGATCTAACTGCAGTGGGAGACAGGAGTGCCTGGCGTGCTCTGGTCCAGGGGGTCACAAAGAGTTGGACACAACTAAACAACAACAAAAGAGGATGTGCACAGTCCCAGGATCAGGGAGCTCTGGGTGCTAACAGTTTTATGCATGAAGTGCAGTTTCTGTTCTCAAACACTCACATCAATAAAAGAGGCATTCACGTAATCCGTGTTCTCTTCGCCCCTCTTCACTGGAATGATCACCCGGTTGAACTCATCTACAGGAAAAACCAGGCAAACAAGGCAACAATTTTAGAAATATTTGGCAGCATGTGTTTAGGTGAAGATATTGAGTCTGAAATACTCGAGCTCAGAAGAGATGGGTTTCCACAGCAACATACAAAAGTGGAGCTGTACGGCTGCACAACAGTCATGCAGGGAAGGCATACAGAATGGCAAAAAATGGTCCCTCGCATTCCAGTGCTGAACTGCTTACCGTATTTTTCGCTCCATAAGATGTACCTGACCATAAGAAGCACCTAGTTTTTAGAGGAGGAAAGGGGGAGAGCCCCGTTTTTTTGGGGATTAGCTCACAGTTGTGCAGCTTCTTTTGCAAAGGGGAAAAGCCCCCTTTTTTGAGGATCAGCTCACAGTTGTGCAGCTTCTTTAGCAAAGGGGGAAAGCCCCTTTTTTGGAGGATCAGCCCAAAGTTGTTGAGCTTACTTTGCAAAGAGAAGAAACCCTGTTTTTGTGGGGTTCAACTCACAGTTCTGCAGATTCTTTAGGAAAGGAAAGGGAGCCCTTTCTACAGTTTCCAGACAGATAATCTAATCAGCCAGTCACATGTCGCTGGGGAAACAAACAGCCTCCGTCTGCAGAACATCCAACAATGGAGGCCTGGACAAGGGGGTGAGGCCGGAAAGGGAGCCAGTGATCAACCACACATTCGCTCCCTAAGACGCACAGACATTTCCCCTTTCTTTTTAGGAGGGAAAAAGTGCGTCCTATGGAGCGAAAAATACGGTAAATATTATGTAAGCAAATGCTGATTGGATGTAACTAAATCAATTTTCTTCTCTGTAATTACAAATCATGATATATTTATATGACATTCACTCCCTCTTCCAGCAACTGCCACTACTGAAACCTTGATCACAATGGCTTTCTCTTTCCCCCTCTCCACCTCATCTTGCTACTGCCGACACAAAAGCCACTTCCTCTCGAGGTTCCTCCTGTGCCGCTGTGCCTCCTGTGCCCACAAACAGCAGCAGCAGATGTTCCTCAGCTGGACTTCCCTCCCTGCAGGGCAGGACACTCACATGGAATTATCTGCAGCACCCGGTTCTTCTTCATGTTGGCCGGCAAATTGCCCGTTCTCATCTTGTCGTTCTGAATTTTGATCGAGGTTAGTTTCTGCAGAGAGAGGTTGGTGGAACGTGAGCCACACCAAAACCACCGAGGGCACATAGCTTATAGTTCAAAGCATGGGCATGCACGTGCAGAGCTTCGCAGTGGGGCAGCCAGCAAGGGCACATACTTGCCCATTACTGGCATGTATGTTAGATGTGTCCATTGCATTACACTCAAAAAGGCAATGCAAGAGCAGCAGATGTGCACTCTCACACACAACATGCCCTCCCTCCCTCTTTTCTACTCCATACACCAGAGGTCACCAATATGGCACCCGTGGGCACCACTGTGCCCATCAGTATATCCCGTGGCACCCACAAATGGTCCTCTTAAAAATGCATAATGCACGAGAGACTGTGTGCTCTTGTGGCCCAGTTACTGTTTGAACTGGTTAGGTCTCTCCCACACTGAATATGCCCCCTTGGACATGCCCACAGTTCACTGGCTGCCATGACTGGATCCTCGCCCTCCCTTCCACGCTCAACAAAGAAGAGGTGCAGAGTGCTTCAGCCTGTGAGCAAGTGCAGTGGTGACTGGTATAGGTACCTTTCCCCCATTCATAGGGGCGTGTATCATACTATTTTGTGGCTTTTTCTCCTTTTGTGCCCTTTTGGATGTGGAAGCCATCGCCCCATAGTAGCCATTTTGTGACTGGCACCAAGGCACTTTCTCAAAATTCCAGGTGTGTTCACAATTCTAGAAGGGTTGGTGACCCCTCCTCTGCAGCCTGCCTGCCTGCCTTTCCAGCATCACAGAATTGGGAAGACCAAAAGCATTCTAGTTCAACCACCTGCCACAAAACAGGACATTCTCCCCTCCAGCAAAAAATAAATAAATCCTGAACAAAGTATGTAACAGTTTGCCACATACGGAAATGGGCCTACAAAATATGCAGGGATTTAAGATATGTAAAATGAACCATGGAAAGAGAAGAAGGGAAGTCATTGATATCTTAAGGATGTAAAATGAGTATTTGAAATTGTAAAACAGAAAATTTGATTAAAATTATTTAAAAAACACAAAAATAAGTAGTTCTGGGTAGCTGACTGGGGGGCGGGGGAAGAGATCTGATTACCGTATGGTTGGATAGAAAGACCCATGGCTTTGCCTGTTCTACTTCCAACAGCAGGATCAGATTCGTTATAACCACCTTGTACCTCTAAGGACAGGATGGAAATCCTCAAGTCTTGTGGTCTCCTGATTCCCACTTGTGCTAGTTCTCCAAAGATATTCCCCCATGGAATTCCAAACCATGATCGCCATATGCATACAATATTAGCCATGGCTCTGTCTTCACCGTTAATGGGAAGCCAGATTTTAAATCTGTGCCGCCAATCAGGGACGGGAAATCTGTGGCCCTCCAGGAATTGTTGGGCCATCACTGTGCCAGGCTGATGGGAGTTGGGGAGTCCATCATTACTTGGAGGGCACAGGTTCCTTCTCCCAGCGGTAAATAATCCCATGATACCGTGGCTAAAGAAAAGCAACTTGGTTCACATGTGCCTGATTGGTTAAACCTTGCTTTCTGGCTCCCCATAGCCATCTGGTTGGCCCCTGTGAACAGGAAGCTAGACTAGATAGGACACTGACCTGATCCAACAGGCTGTTCTTATGTTTTTCAAGTCTGGTTGTCCCTAGCTACAGTTGTCCCTGGTAATGGAGGTACCAAGCTACTGTAGCTGCTGCCACTCACCTTAAACTCTTCCTCCAATCCGTTGCTGCTGGTCCCTGGGATCTTGTTGTAGATCTTCTGGAGGTGGATCTCCAGCGAGGTCACCTCCAGTTCTGTATCCCCATACAGATAATGCTCCAGAAGAGCTTGGTAGATGAACACATACTGCATCTGAAGGAGAGAAAAAACTACTGTGAGACGATCATGCTCCACATTCGAATAAGGCCATTCTCTGAACAGGTTCAATGAACATGAGCTAGGAATGCGTGACTATCCCAGCATTTGCCCTGAGAGGGTCGTGATGCTTTGCATGGAGTCAGGATGGTACACGCTCCAAGAAAGCATGTGCAAAACATTATCTCAAGCTTCTCCGTCTCCCCTGTGGCTACCACCTCCCACTTCCCCTGCCAACTTAACCCAGAGCAGCAGAAGGAAGATTCAAGGGCAGTGACTCCAGTTCCTTGGTTCACCTTCCCTTCCCTGCCAAAGAGCCCAGAGTTTCCAACAGGAAAATGCCCCAGAGTTTCCAACAGGAAAATGTCAGGCGAATGGTGACGTTTTCCTGCCAGGTATGCTGGGCATGTGGTTCCAGAGCTCTCCTTGCTGAGAATGGAAGCTCTTCTGATCAGCCACTCTGCTTCCCCCAGGTAAGTTCGGAATAGGCTTGCCAGAAGTCCAACAAATAGGAAAAAGAAGAAGAAACTTGCAGTTTGTTTGTGTGTGTGTGTGTGTGTGTGTGTCTGTGGTCCGCAATGAAAATCAGTCAAGAAGTTATGGTCACTATTCCTTCGCAATGCTATGGTTGGCTATTTTAAGTCCACAAATGATATGCAATTGACGACTTTTTAAAACTTTGTTATGATGCTACCTTTAAATTGAAGAGAAAGTTAGTTATGTAAATAGCTTTGTAGCTTATGCTAAACAGTGGACAGAAAGGCAAACAGCATAGGAAGTTTTTCTATGTGTTGGAAGCTGCCCAGAGTGGTGTAATTATTATGAATAATAATAATTTGGTTGAAACAGAACTGCAGCAGAGCAGAAGCAGCACTGGTTGTAATAAATAGCAGTTGTAACAGAAGTCGATGCCTTCTTACATTCTTAGTTATGAAGAGGAGGCAGCAGGTGGCAGATGGAATGAAGGTGCAATCCTGCATTGCATAGCAGGGAGAGGCATGAGGAGCAAACTATATTATGTCCTTGGAAGGCACAAACTAAGTTCCTTATCAGGGGCAGACTGTGAAAGTGTGAATTTGAGTGTTGGGACTCTCCCTTTCAATGCAGTCGTGATCTTGGAGCCCTGGCAAAGGTGACTGACCTGCCTGTTAAGCAGGCAAAAGGCAGAAAAAGGACCAGAGAGACAGGCTTGGAAAGAGAGGCTTCGTTATTCTTTACAGGGGGAAGGAAGGAAATCTCAGGGATTTGTCCTGCCTGAGTTCTGCTGAAACATTTGAGGAAGAGCTCAGGGTCACATCATTAAGTCTGCTTACCTGCTCATTTACACACAGCAGCCGGTTATATTTTGGGTTCTTTTACAAGCAATAAATGCAAAGGAGAGTATCTGGCCCACATAGCACGAAGCTTATCCTGCAGGAGAAGAGACTTACATCGGTCTGTACCATCTGGCATCGCTGCGCCCGGATGCGGCTGACGAACCCGTAAACGTCCACCTTTCTCTCAGTGAGCATCATGTCCAGCATGGCATCAATGACAATGAAAGTCCCCGTTCGTCCCACACCAGCGCTGGGGGGGGGGGTGGAGGAGAAGAGAAGGAAAAAAGGTCTCCTTTGAGAATTTGGCCCCGGCAGGCGGTTTCAGCCAAGCAACCCACACATGCCGGATCACAGCACGCAAGTGACAGGCAGAGAAGATGATTCATTAAAGAACAAAGAAGCTCAGGGGCCTAACATCTGTCTGCTCAGCCACCCTTGATGAGCAGTACATGCAGGGGATTCCCTGTGGGAGGAGATTCGGAAATGGTAGACGTGCCTTCTGACAGCTTGGTTGGATAGCTCGGTTGGTTAGAGCGTGGCGCGGGTAACGCCAAGGTGGCAGGTTCAATCCCCGTAAGGGACAGCTGCATATTCCTGCATTCTTAGATGATTCCCAAATCATTCCTAGATGATTCTCAGGGCCCCTTCCAACTCTGCAATTCTATGATAAACAAAAAGGGCAGTTCCCTGATCCTACCATCTAAAACCACAAGTCAAAAGGCTTGAACTATCAGAATTTCGTGGGGCTAATGGTGGACTGAGGAAGTACATTTCTTGATCAAGGTGTCTATCCTGCCAGGTAAGTATCTGCTTGTACTCTTGGTGACTGCCCTGAACATCACTCAGTGATTAGTAAGTAGTATTTTACATTTCTGTTAGATCAGGACTCCCCGCTCTGGCAGGAAAGTAAACAGCGTTTCCGTGAGCTGCTCTGGTCCGCCAGAAGCGGCTTAGTCATTCTGGCCACATGACCCGGAAGCTGTCTGTGGACAAATGCTGGCTCCCTCGGCCAACAAAGCAAGATGGGCGCTGCAACCCCAGAATTGTCCACGACTGGACTTAATGGTCAGGGATACCTTTACCTTTTACCTTTAAACAGATAAGTAAGTAAGTAAGTAAGTAAGTAAGTAAGTAAGTAAGTAAGTAAGGGACTGATGAGCTCCAGACTGACCTGCAGTGTACGACAATGGCCCCTGCATACTGGGGGTTACATGTCTTCACCTTCTTCAGGAACTTCAGCATCCCAATGGGAGTGAAAGGGACCCCGAAGTCAGGCCAGCTGGTGAAGTGGAATTGCGTCACCAGGCGCTGAGGCTTCTTATTGGTGACATCGCCTACCTGGGTGGAAGGGTGGGGAAACAGATTGGACATATTGGTTAATTGTCAGGAATTTAGAGTCACACCAAGCTCTCCGAATCCCTTCCTTTCATCACCTGTAAAAGCCTACTGTAGAGATCAGAAATGACAGGTTAGACTAAGGGAGAGGGGAGTGTGGCGAGCTCCCTTCTCTTCCATGCCCAAAGGTTGCCTCCTCTCTGCTGAGCAAGCAAATTCTCCATCATAATCTGGCACCAGGCACACCAACTATGCCTAGGCCTACATCTCTCCAAGGTTGGTCCACTTTTGCTTGGGCTATGGCACATCAGTATTTGGGGTGGGGAAGAAGAGATGTACAACAAACAACAACAACAACAACAACACCTTTCATACAAAAAGAACAATAACATCCATACAGAAGAGAACTTAGATGCTGGTTTCTCACCTGGTACCAACCCTACTGATCTCCAGGTGCAGCATTCTGGAATCAACAGACTTACATAAAAAGGGAGAAGAGAGGGGATCAAAATGAGATACCTGCTGAATGCAGAATTTCCGCACCGTGTAGTCAACTAAGACCGTCACATCTTCCACGGACACTCGGATATTTCCGTACGTCCAGCAGCCCTGATCTGGCCAGTACTGAGCACATTTGCACTGGAGAGAAATACACATTTTTTAAGAAAACACGGACCAGCATTTTGAAATTATTAATTACCTGCCCTCCACATAAACATTTTGCTTTTACGCGGCTCTCGTTTCACTTGCCACAGAGCCTCCGGCAGCCACTTGCCTCTTTCCTCTCTTTCAGGTTGGTCACCATGACAATTGTTGCTGTGTTTTGCTCCCAAATCATCCTCCAGAAGTCGTTCACAGTTTCTTCTTTTGGTCCTAAACAGACCGAAGGGAAAAGGGGAAAGTGGTACAGGAAAGTACTTGCAGGTGGGTGGGAGCAGGGTGTGTTTGTTTAACAAGACCTTTAAGTGGTATAATCATTCTTCTATATTGTCAAGGCTTCAGGTAATTACAATCCCTCCCCGGGTGGCAATCGAAAGGCAGATAACCGAAAGGAGTTCTTACCACGTAATTTATTCAGTATTCACAGAGAGCGACAAAGGAACGCTGTCTCTATAATGGTGGCGTTGCTCCAGGTCAAGTCCCACCCCTTCAGTCCCCCTTAATCTACGTCACCCCTGTGGAGGCTGGTCAGTGCCTTCTGCCTCTGAGATTTGTGTTCTGCTACTTGCACAGCCCATCTACCGTACTTTTCCGTCTATAAGGATGCCCCCATGTACTGGAACCTAATGGTCAGGGGTCCCTTTACCTTTTTATCTGTTGTTATGCAACTGAATTACTGCCTTTTGCCACGGGGTGGCAGCAAAGAGGCACTTGCTCATCCAACTAAGAATCCACTAGCTACCCTTTCAAACAGCACAGCCTTCCCAGCACCTGACCCCTTCCATCTTTCCAATTCCAGAATACACCTGACACCTGGAAAACAGGAGTCCATTTTGACAATATACTGGGGGCCAAATCTTCACAGGGGAAACCCTAGTGGTTGACCCACATGAGCTGTAGATTAAACTTTCCAGGCACCAGAAGAGATGGGTTGATGTTTACATGATTTAATCGTTTCAATTTCCCACTGTGCCCATGATTGATTTGATGAGGGCAATATTCCCCTGAGCATCCTTCCTAAGGCTGGCTGCCAGAGCGGCACGGGAACCAACTTGGAAACTCAGAAGAACGTTAATGCACTGCAAATATTTTTTGCTCAGCATAAAGCCTCCCAGCCATTTGTTATCTCGGGACAGAAATCCAAAGGAAAGCAAGTGTGACTTACCTTGGGCCGCAATGAACTTGTTCTTCTCTTGGTACCCCTGCCAAAAGAAAAGAAAACAAGAGAAAGAGGTAGCTCATTTGTGCCTCTGGCATGCGAGTCAACTTCAAAGTCTTCCAAAACATTGGCATCTTCTCAGGCACCACACAGAGTGAGCTCTTTACCTTGCCAATTTTGTATTGTACATAAGTTGTATGAGGGCCAACGAGAGGGGTTAGAGCAGTCGGGGGTGTTACATCAGCACCAAAAAGCATCTGTTTTTCGTGTTTTTGGTGTGGTGCCTGAAGGGGAAGAATACTCATCACTACCAGGGGAAAAGATGTACAGTACGTAGCGCAGTCACACAGACAGAGCTCTCTCTCCCTTGGAACATCTTACTGGAAACACAAAAAAGTGGATGTGTGACTTGATCCTGGTGGCAGACAGAAGCATGCCGGATATCTAAACACAGTGCACCTGATTCTCACCCCACCCCTCACAAAAAAAACCCTCTTGAACACAGAACAATTTATGTGTGGTGATCTGGTTAATGCAAAATAAAGGTAAAGGTAGCGGTAAAGGACCCCTGGACAGTTAAGTCCAGTCAAAGGCAACTATGGGGTTGCAGTGCTCATCTCACTTTCAGGCCAAGGGAGCTGGCATTTGCGTGCAGACAGCTTTCCACGTCATGTGGCTGGCATGACTAAACTGCTTCTGGCGCAACGGGATTCTGTGACGGAAACCAGAGCACACGGAAACGCCGTTTACCTTCCCGCCGCATTGGTACCTATTTATTTACTTGCACTGGTGTGCTTTCGAACTGCTAGGTTGGCAGGAACTGGGACAGAGCAATGGGAGCTCACCCCGTCGCAGGGATTTGAACTGCTGACCTTCTGATCAGCAAGCCCTAGGCTCTGTGATTTAGACCACAGTGCCACCTGCATCCCTGTGCTAATTTGTGTGTGCTACTGCTGCTCGGGTTAATGCAAGAAGGATGGTCCAACAAGAAATGCCAGGCAATGATTCTGCTCCTGACTTTTCTGTCTTCTTGACAAGTGCAGTCGAGACTGCACAAGTTAGGGGTGCTTTGGGCATACAAAAGTAGAGGCGGGAGACGAGAGAGAGAGACAGAAAATCAAGGAACTGAAGTAGAGATTATGCATCTACCAACATTGCAAAAACAAAACACCGCACCTCTTTAAGGAGCTGCTGTATGCAGAAACCACTAGCACATCTAGCTACACACTGCCTACTCTGATTGGTATATAACAGTTCTCCAAGATTCCCAGCCTTCTTATCTCTAATCTTTAACTACAGGTACCAGGGATCAAACAGCATGGCTCCTTCTGCAAGCAAACCATGTGCTCTCTCAGTAAGCTATAACAGAAGGCAAAGCATCTGATGCGGGGATACAGCCAGGACTGTGGTGACACCACAGCCTCCAAAAATCCACATTCTGCACCAGGAAAATAGTCATCCCTCCAGGGAAGAACTGCACACCTCCATATTAGAATGCATCTTAAGTAGCGCTCATTTAAAATAATTAAGGTTTTTTTACAAAGTGGTTTGAGGGAGGTGGAAAACAGAAGGGCAGAGCTTGGGCAGGAAAACAAAACATACGCACTACAATAAAGTTTGCACCCCACCGATGCTCCTTCCTGCTTCGGCCAAGCCACGTCCACCCTGTACCCAACGTCATCAGGCATGGTAAAGATGTGGCTCTCTGCCCAAAGTGGGGCTCGCAGGCATCTCCATTCAGCTGATTTGTGGGGCTTGCAAAGAGCTATGCCTTTGACTGCGGCATTTGATTTTCAAACCATATGGGCAAAGGAAAAATGGGTCTCCTGACGTCATTTGTAACGTCAGATAATTGACAGGTGGGCAGCTGCACCCATCTGCCAAAACTGGCTTGCAGGGAGGGTGGGCAGGTAAGAATCTAGCCAGCTGGCTGGATCCAGTCCTCCACCCCTGTTCACAGCACTTGAAGGCTCCTTGCTTTGGAGACTTTTAGATGGCAGTGGGCAGGATCCACAAATCATAACTGCTGCACAACTGCCCTTTCGAGAAGGAAACCTGTGCAAGGTCAAGGGAAATTAATGGAAGATGTGTGACAGCAATGCCAGGTGAATCTGACTTACTGTCTGTGCACTTTTTGAGAACTAGAAACCTGGTGTCTGTAGGGAGCAGCATAAAGCCACCCAATTTTGCCTACACGATTGCAGCTGCACATGACTGTAGATCACCTGCAACACGGCTATCAAGGCAAGCATGGGAGCTGGTTAGCATTCTCGTTAAAATAACGAAGTCTCATTCTGCTTCATTTCCCTTGCAGATACTTACATTAATAAATGAGGCATTGATGTAATCAGAGTCTGGAACCCCTTCGAGAGGTGTCAGATGAACCCTGGAATGATCATCTAGGAAGGAAGGTAAGAAGCGGCCCATTAAAAGAAACAAGTGTCAGGGCGACATTTAAAATGTAGGGGTTTCAGAAAGGTTATATACGGCCAGAAGGAAGTGAAACCTTCAAGAGGAGAGAATTCGGGCCTCCCCTCAGTGCACAGGGAAGCTGGAGAAATGGCAACTCATTACAAACTTCGGACCAAGTTTATTGTCAACACAGGATAAAACCTTAATGCAGTGGTTTTGAATTGTAGCGGGGGACAGAGGGTAAGAAGAAGCTGACACTCCTGACCTGTGCAGGGTTACACATTATATAACCCATTTGAAGGAACCATGTAAGGGGAATAATAAAACATTTGCTTCACATTGCTTGTCTCACACCGCTGCCTCCAGTTGCATTTGTGCAGGGTTTCCCTAACTTGAATGTCCAGCTGGTTTTGGACTGCAATTCCCATCATCCCTGACCACTGGTCCTGCAAGCCAGGGATGATGGGAACTGTAGTCCAAAAACAACAGGAGACCCAAATTTGGGAAATGTGGCTTTAGTGGAAAAGTGCCAACTACCACATTTTCTGGGTGGGGCAGTAGGGAAGTGGGGGGCTGCAAGGAAAGGGGGGAGCTGTTCCACTGCGATCCTTATGGCATGTAGCTTAAGAAGGAAGTGCTGTAGCTGTGCCAAAAGTATGCCTCGACTGATTTGTTCAATTTTATATCCTGCCCTTCCTCTCAAAGGAGTGACATGTGCTTAGGGTGGATGGCGAAGAGGAGCAGAAAGATAAACGGTCCTCTTATCTCCAGAGAAAAATATTCCTCTCTCCAGACCACCAAGTTTGGACATGACCGCAAGGGGGTAAGAAGTGCCAGGGCCTGGTATGAGTTCTTCAGGCGCTCACTGGACCAGGGGGAACTTGCCAAAGATAATTCTGGATTGGTCACAGGTGGGGCGGAGGTTGTAGAGGGGAGACAGTCAACACAGGACCCTCCAGGTGTCATTGGACTACAAATCGCACCATCCCAGGCCACTGGCTATGCTGGTGGAGGCTGATGGAAACTGAAACAACATCTGCCATAGGATGTATGCAAGAAGCACAGAGAGTTTCTACTGCAATCAAAGTTAGCGCCCCGCAGAATGAAACTTGGCTGGTTTTCATCTGATCATTCCGTCGCTACTTGGGCAGCTTGCTTTTCCTGAAGGCGAATGCGTGGCCGCAAAGAACACAGCTGCATTCCAGGTATTTCCCCTTACTTTAATCACTGCTCTTCTGCGGTGTGTCCTTCCTTCCAGACCGTGATTCCAGCGGCTTCTTGGTATGGAAGACATTTGGCCCATGAAAAGAGTTGCCTCTGGGATAGGGTCAGGGCTGAGAATGCTCAGCTTCTTGCAAGGGAACAGGCTTCAGCTGAGCAAGCCCCTCTTTCGTCTGCAAGTGACCTGGGTCCAGGGTGGGCCATCCATGTGGATCTACTAGCAACTGCTGGAGCTGCAGGAAGAGCAACAGGCTCTGCCCCTCAAACAAGTCCTTTGTGGTGTGGTGTGCTTTTTAATGAACATACTCTCGGAATAATGTTCTTTTGCCTCCAGGTTCCAAAACGAATGCGTTTTACCATATATGGCTATTGTTCTCATTCTTGTGTTACAGGAACTGCTTCTGCTGCTCTGCCTCTCCCCCTGGTTTGTGCCACCCCCTCTGTTATTCCCCTTGACACCCACAAGCAACACTTCTCCTAGGCAACCTCCCTCCCCTCTAATAATCGCTCCATCATTTTTGGCATAGCGAAAGAAACAGATGGAGAAAGGTTGACTGCCATCAGGCTAAAGTACTACTAGTTCAGCACCCTCATTTTATGGGTGTCTACCCACTGGGAAGCGCAGGCACCTCTACAAACAAGGCAAACATGGGGGGGCATTTGGATCCCCTGGGTTCTTTTGAGCTTACTGCAATGAAACCAAGAGACAAGGCCACAGTGTTAGCTGTTAGCTGTGCAGGGCAAAGCAAGAGCTATATATGGCTCTGCTGGGTCTCATCAGACTCACTTGAGCCTCAATTTGAAGCAAGCCTATGCTGGGCACAGGATGGATCGATTCTCTTTTGCACAGACCCTTTATATGGGTGGCAGTAGTAGCTGCATGCCATGGCTTTGGGTTATCGATCTCTGTCTGTGATTTTGTTCCCCTCAGATGGTTTTCTCGCTCTTCCTTGTGAGAGATGACCAGACTGACTTTTTTCAAAGAGAATGTTTGGCTATAAAGGTGCAGGCGCTGAAGCTGTGTGCATCATTGGCTTTAACACCACGGTAGCCAACCACCTGAGAACATCTTGGGCAATACTTACAAGGCAAGATGTTTACGTATCTGTTCTTCTCCTTGTTTTCTTCCTTGGAGGCAGCTTCACAGGTGGCCTGGATAGGGCATGCCGGGAGAGCCTGGGAGGATGGGGTAGAAATAAGAAGATGCTGTACCTTTGTTGAACAACAGGGAGCAATCCACACCCAATACATAGCCTCTGTGGCTTTTTATTCTGATCCTCCGAAATGGGCAGTGATAAACAGCCAATGCTACCAAACTGCAGTAATTCCAAATACCGTAAGTGGCAACCTCTTCCCTTGGAAGTTCACCAGAATGTGCATACCTCACCAATTGTTGCCTGGGCTGTTCAGCTGGAATACCATCACTTCCACTGGTTTTCCCAGTAGTGATGTATGGAAGTGAGAGCTGGACCATAAAGAAGGCTGATCGCCAAAGAATTGATGCTTTTGAATTATGGTGCTGGAGAAGACTCTTGAGAGTCCCATGGACTGCAAGAAGATCAAACGCATCCATTCTAAAGGAAATCAGCCCTGAGTGCTCACTGGAAGGACAGATCGTGAAGCTGAGGCTCCAGTACTTTGGCCACCTCATGAGAAGAGAAGACTCCCTGGAAAAGACCCTGATGTTGGGAAAGTTGGAGGGCACAAGGAGAAGGGGACGACAGAGGACGAGATGGTTGGATAGTGTTTTCGAGGTTACCAGCATGAGTTTGACCAAACTGCGGGAGGTAGTGGAGGACAGAGGTGCCTGGCGTGCTCTGGTCCAGGGGGTCACGAAGAGTCGGACACGACTAAACGACTAAACAACAACAACAACAACAACAACAACATATCTCTCCCTCCCAGAGCTCTAACTTTGTACTTGCCTTCTGTCTCATCTGGCATCGTTTGCCATTTATTTTTTTGTGGCCTTTTTAAAAAGCTGCCCTTTTTTACTTCATAATTTTTATTTTTGCCTTATGACAAGAGTTCTAAATTGGCTAAAAGCCTCCCAAGATCTGTTGTACATTGAAGAAGAGGACCACACTGTCAGTGCACAATAACAGGGAGACTCAGAGGGAAAGAATTTGTCCCCACCCAAATCCTGGACTATGTCATTCTTGCAAAAAAAGTTGAAAAGGAAGGATGCCAGCACAAAACTCTGCACTGCCTGGGACTGACGTAGAAAGGTAGATGTTTGTATAGAGCTGGCTGGGACTGATGGAGGTTACAGTTCAAAACATCTGCAGTGAACCGGTTGGGAAAAGATGGTAAAAAGTGCCTGAACTCCATAGAGTAATTGCTGAGCTATATTAGTACTATTTAGCATGATACATAACAGTTTGTGCTCAATGGCATCAAAGGCCACTTTAAAATCTACAAAAGGTTCAAATCGTCCTTTGCTAAGAGATGCATAGTTGTGTATTACATGCTTTGGCACAAAACAGTTGCCAGGAGTGGAGAACTCATATCTGAATCAGCTTGTTTTCTCCTGAAAATGCTGTTACTTATAGTCCAGGCCTCAGGTTTAGCTACTCAAGCTAATTAGTTTGTAATAAGGAGAGATTCAAACTCTCCCTCCCTTTAACAGGTGATGATAATTGTACTTTGATTCCTGCCAGTTGTTAGGTTGAAATAATAAAAAAGCTGGTACAATACTGGAAGCCACCAGTATTTTTCTTCTTAAAAACTTCACTGCAAATACCATTCTCTCCTGGGGCCTTGATATTTGGTAAATTTGATATAATATACTTCAAAGTGCTGGTATTGACCTATAAAGCCTGAAATGGCTCGGGACTGCAATACCCCAAGAACCGCCTCTTTCCATATGAACCTACCCAGACCCTGAGATCATCTTTTGAGGCCCTTCTTCGTGTGCCCCCTCCTTGAGAGCTTAAGAGGGTGGCAACACGAGAACATGGCCTTTTCTGCAGTGGCTCCCAGTCTGTGGAATGCTCTCCCCAGGGAAGTTCGCCTGGCGCCTTCATTATACACCTTTAGGTGCCAGGCAAAAACGTTCTTTTTTAACCAGGCCTCTGGTTGATCTGATTTACATCCTATGCCCTTTTAAAACATGTTTTCTTTTTTTTGGGGGGGGGTGCTATTGTGTTGTTGCTTTTATTTTTATTATAAATTGTGGTTTTATATTTTGATTTTGTTCTGTGCACCACCCTGAGACCTCCAGGCATAAGGCGGTATATAAATTCATTTTTTAAAATAAATAAATAAATCACTGTTTACTGATTGGTAATTGGTGGAATAAGGGACGCGGGTGGCGCTGTGGGTAAAAGCCTCAGTGCCTAGGGCTTGCCGATCGAAAGGTTGGCAGTTCGAATCCCCGCGGCGGGGTGCGCTCCCGCTGCTCGGTCCCAGCGCCTGCCAACCTAGCAGTTCGAAAGCACTCCCGGGTGCAAGTAGATAAATAGGGACCGCTTACTGGCGGGAAGGTAAACGGCGTTTCCGTGTGCGGCTCTGGCTCGCCAAAGCAGCGATGTCACGCTGGCCATGTGACCCGGAAGTGTCTCCGGACAGCGCTGGCCCCCGGCCTCTTGAGTGAGATGGGCGCACAACCCTAGAGTCTGTCAAGACTGGCCCGTACGGGCAGGGGTACCTTTACCTTTACCTTTAATTGGTGGAATGGACAAAATGTCTGATGGTCCCATGTGTTAATTTTTGACCAGCATCAAGGCCTCCATGAAGAGTGACTTAACTTTATCTACAGAGGATCAAATGTGCTGTTTAGGAGGCAGGCTATACTGTAGTGATGGAGACACCTCATGTGAGCAGACTGCCTACAATTACAGTACAAATAAAGTGTTTAATGGGTTAATGAATGGGGGATCACCCTTTCATTACAGGCTTTTAACTAATCCTATCAACGCTTTGCAGACAGATTAAGAGAACCAAGTAGTTACTTCATGCTATCTTGGCACACAAGATGGCAGCAAAGTCCCCTTCAGTAAAACCTCAGATTGCATGAGCTAAATCGCTATGGACTGGCCCCGGTACAACCTTTTGAAAGAGACAGATCTCCAAATAACAAGTAGCAAGTGAATTAGGAAAGTGAAAATTGGATAGAGGAAAAAACCTTTTTGGAGCAGCAAAAAGCGAGGAGGGGGAGATGAGCTGAACGTGAAACTATGAAGGAGAATAGATCCAGATCTCTAGTAGATCTTCACCCAAAGGATTGTTGTGCAGGGGTCAGAATGTCAGTAGGATGTCGTCCCCTGACCTATAGGGGAATGATCTGAACCCATAAATTTCCTTTGAAGCTTGTGAGGCACTGAAGATGTAACACGATTCTTGGAGTGGGTAAGGAGACCTAGGTTCAAGTCCTAGTTCGGACATGAAACTCACACGGGCATCACAGCAGTCACTAACTCACGGCCTAAATTACTCTTCAGGTTTGCAAGTTGTTCTTCTTTCTTTTTCGGAGAGGGTGGGGCAACGATAGAATGGGGAAGATATAGGACACTTTTATGCTGAGAGGGCTGCCCAAAAGCACTTTTTTATAATCACATCACTGAACCAAGCAATCCCAGCCAAGGAGTTACTTCTATCACTATTTAGAGACATCACCTTGCCGACAAAGGTCCATATAGTTAAAGCTATGGTTTTCCCATTAGTGATGTATGGAAGTGAGAGCTGGACCATAAAAAGGCTGATCGCCAAAGAACTGATGCTTTTGAATTATGGTACTGGAGGAGACTCTTGAGAGTCCCGTGGACTGCAAGAAGATCAAACCTCTCCATTCTTTGGGAAATCAGCCCTGAGTCCTCACTGGAAGGAGAGATCGTGAAGCTGAGGCTCCAATACTTTGGCCACCTCATGAGAAGAGAAAACTCCCTGGGGAAGACACTGATGCTGGGAAAGATTGAGGGCACAAGGAGAAGGGGACGACAGAGGACGAGATGGTGGGACAGTGTTCTCAAAGCTACCAGCATGAGTTTGACCAAACTGTGGGAGGCAGTGGAAGACAGGAGTGCCTGGCGTGCTCTGGTCCATGGGGTCACGAAGAGTCGGACATGACGAAACAACAACATACATTGATCCAGCCTTACCAGGTTGGAATTAAAGGCAACAGTTGGGGAAGTCTGATAACTGCACATAGTGTCTTTCCTTCCCCTCTTGCCCCCTCTTTCACACTTTCCCAGTGACAATGATTGCAATGAACCCCAAAAGCAGGGGCCCTCTTAACGTGACCTCACTTGTAACTGTGCATTATCAGCATCTCCTCATTTGCATAGCTACACTTTGCTGTGCATGTAACCAGCACTGATTGAAGTGCGGCGATGACGTGGAAATCTTACTGGAGTCACAATCGGCTCCCAAATGCTACTCTGGTTTGAATCAATAATGCAGGGAACAGATTTTCTCCAGGAAAACAGGAAGAGGGCGTGAAGGAGCCTGGACAAGGGCCCAAGTAAGGGCAGGGTCAAGTAAGGGCAAGCTAACAGCCCTGCTGATCTAGAAATATCTGATTGGGAGGCGGGGCATAGCCGAGAACCAGGGACTGAGCCTCAGACATTTGAGCACGAGGCAACACCCATTCCTGCCACCTCTTAGATTTTCAAATGCAAGCCAGAAACATAAAAGCATTACTCAGGTTTGTCCTGTACAATTGGTACAGGGGAGGGAATCTTTCAGCGAGGTAGAGAAGGGCATTTCATTGCTTTGTGTGCACCATCCGACTCTTGACTTCTGTAGTACAAGCAGTAACCTTAAGCATTTCTGTGCATCAAAACAAACAAAATTCTACAACCCACACTGCCACATTTCTAAATGGCTTTCAGAATCAGCTTAGCAGGAGCTGTTAACCTTCACCGGTAAACAACGGGGTGACTGCAGTTATTCTCACTATGTCAAAACATGGCTAGCTTTCGAGCTCAACAGAGAAATGATAGTTCCTTAACAGCTGGGGTGTAGGGAGCAGCAAGCTTGGACTGGTCTGGCCTTGATTTCATACAACTGGCATTCAATTTTAGCAAACAATCCTTTTCTTTTCTTTTTTCTGCCCAACCCCAGAACTCAGCAGGTATGAAAGGAGTGGGCTGAGAGGGGGGAAAAACAAACTAGCAAAGGACTCACATTGAACTCTTCGCGGAAAAGTTTGTTGTCATCTGCCATTCGCCGGTTAATCTCCTCCTCCAGTTTATCCACAGGCAGTGGTGGGTACTTTCTGTTGGTGCTGGGAGACCTGGCAAGCAATGGCATGCTCTGGGGCTCTGCAACAGAAGGGGAGTTCACTTGTTTTTGATGCACTAGGCAAAGGGCACTCAAGAGACTACAACTTGGGTTATATGCACAGACAAGCACACGCGCACACACACGTCAGTTCCCAGAAATCCATCACACTCTAGCATGAGCAACAACCCCTGCAGGTTGTGGCCATGCAGATAGGGATGGGGAAAGGTTAGCCCCCCATCCCTCTGTCTTCCACAACTAAATTTCCTTACTTTCCGCCCACTCCCAAGGAAATGAATCAGTCCAAGTGGGGGGAAAGTAGCAGTGCTGCGCCTGGGACAACCAAGAGCTCTGAACATCCCTGTGGAAACGGCTCAAGCACAGAGACACTCGTTCAATTTGCCTCACTGCCGAGGCGTTGTGCCGCTAGCCGGTACAAGAATAAGAAGAGAAGACAGGGAGATGCAGCTGCTTCAACAAGTTGTATCAGATTCACCACCCCCCAAAACAGAGCCATTTTCTGCAATGGATTATTTTAGCAGCAAAAGCTCGACAATCTGCCACATCCTAGTTTAACTGCATAGAAATAGGGCAGCTAGCTGGTAGATAACCTGAGGCATGATGCAGACCTAGGACATCATTCTTCATTCATGTGAAGGGAAAAGCAACATTTAGGTGGAATTGGGGTGCTGCAACCCTGGCCAACATTAGGAGGAGGGAGAGCTTAATGGCCGGGCCTTGTTCTGGAGCTGGGAGGAAGTCAAGTGGACTGGCATATGGGAGTTCCCACAATCCAACCACCGGTATGCAGTTGTAAGACCAGAAGGCAGCTGTGCAACTGATCCATCCAATCCCTTGGACACACTGTTGAGGTGACATTCAGTGAGGACTATGACATCCCTCTCATATGGGATACCCCACAGAAGGAAGAGGGTTGCCAGGACTGCCACACTGTGGTTCTAGCTTCAGTTGTGGGAGAAGAAAGCACAGACTTACCCATGTCATCTGTCCGTCCATTAGACAAATGAAAGGAGTTGGAATGGCTCCCGGCTTGCTTGTATTTTTTGAACCTAGCAATGAAAATACATGGAAAATCAGCTAAGCCAGGTTCATATCTGAGTTATCTAATATGCTGTTGGGAGCAGGTCTTTCTACCTGCACAAGTGATCTTTTTCAGAGACTTAAATAGGACACTCTCCAGATGCCTGGCATAAGAAGATGAAGCAGGAGTTGTTTACCTTGAAAGGGTGGTTGATGTGAATCGACACAGAGAGTGTGGCTACTCAGAAGGCTGCATTTGAGTGAGGAGAATGCTCAGTGCGGACACCCAAATTTTCAGAACCACTTTGCTTCTATATAGCATCTTGAACACTCCAGTGAACTTTGCACAACACAGGCATTGCAGGGGGTTGGATTAGATGAAACTAGAGTTGTCCCTTCCAACTCTATAATCCTATAATTCTAAGCATGCTCTGCTAATGTAACAGCTGCAACACTGATCTACAAATCAGGAAGCCCCCAGTCCAAGTCTTGCCTCTGACATTAACTCACCAGGTGACCTTAGGCAAGTCACTCCCTCTCAGCCTCAGATCTGCAATATGGGGACAACAGTACAGGGGGCTAGGGCTGTTCTGATGATTACAAATCAGTGTATGTGAGGCACTCTGAACATTTGAAAGCACTAATTAAGTACCATCCACAGACAGGAGATGGGTGCTGAGAGTGAAGCCACCTAGCAAGCGATTTGAACCAAGGACTTCCTGCTCAAAGCTCACAACTATATCGCCTCCCATGCCATGAATTCATAAAAATCGTTTACCTAAAGGTGACAGAAACAAGTCAAGGAGACAGTATTCACATATGATCACGAAAGGGGGAGGAAAACAACAGCTGGAGAAGCTGAGAGGTCAGAGTGCCCACTCTTACACAGTAGGAAATCACAACAGAGATATTACAGCTCAAGAAGCTGCCTTCCTTCTCTCACATCCACACCCAAACAGTGTTTGCTGTCTCAAATGCAACACTGCATATCACCTTCTGTTTCAAACAGATGGTCTTGGATTCTGCCTTGGTCAGACCACACCGGGAATACTGTGTCCAGTTCTGGGTGCCACAATTTAAGAAGGATATTGACAAGCTACAACGTGTGCAGAGGAGGGCAACCAAGATGATCAAGGGTCTGGAAACCAAACCTTGTGAGGAACAGTTGAGGGAGTTGGGTAGGTTTAGCCTGAGAGGAGCCTGAGAGGAAATTTGACCGCCATCTCCAAATATCTAAAGTGCTGTCACTTGGAAGCTGGAGCAAGTTTGTTTTCACCTACCCCGGAAGCCAACTGAAGCACAGGTGCCAAAACATGCAAGCCAAATAGCCAAGCTTCTGGCTGACTTTCAGGCAGAATCTCTGGCTCAAGAAAGATGGCTGCTCTGGTGCAGGGCTGCTCAAGAAAGGAGAAGAAGTGAATATCTGGCTGGAGCAGGTACTGTTGCTGCTGCCCCACAAGCCTGATTACTTCCATTTGCCCTTTCCCAGGTGGGAAAGACGCAAGGCAGAATATGAGGAAGGCAGCGAGAGCTTTCTGCTTCATCCTCCTCTTTGCTCAATGAACCCTCCTCAGGTTCTTTCCACCCTGGATAGGAAGACAAGTAACAGCTGGGCAATCTGCCATTTTGCATCAGGCCAATTACCCAATGTGAGGGGAGAGGGAAGGAAGGCATCAGCTGAGGAATCTGGAATCTGTGTAACTTAAGGGGCAGGTACCACACACCATCCCCAGAGGAGCTGCCTGTGGGCAGGAGAAGCAGTGCTTACCTGACCTCTTGTTATCGGCACAGCTGTGCTTACGAGGGTGAAGAGGGGGAGGGGGGAGGCTGGTTTGGTGCAAAATGCACCGGGAGGAGTGCTGGATTGGCTCCGCCGGCATGTTTGCTCAGCGCTGACCTCCCCACTGCATCTCCCTTCTCCCCAATCCAGAAAGCGCAGCAACAACAGCAACAGCAACAGGAGGTCAGGTAACCACTGCCCCTTCCATCCAACTGCTCCTGCACCTGCAGCAAAGATTGTCCCAGGGACTGGGAGCAACTAGAGCCCATTTTTATTTTGTTTTAATGATGCTTCTCTTTTTGAAATGATTTTAAACTGGTCGAGGTGCAGCTCTAAGAGAAACATGTCAAACCACAGGAGCCCAGCAAAAGGAAGTCAGGAGGTTCTCCAAGCAGCACTTACCTTAACATATACAAGACAATAATAATAAATACTATCACTAGCAAGGAAGATAATGCCACCATTACGGCTATGATGGGTGTCTCATCTAGAGGGAGGGGAAAAAGAGAAAGAAATTTGTTTTAGAAACAGCAATGCCAGGTATTTCAAAGGACGTAAGGAAACAATTGGGAGTTCCTGATTATTTCCTTAGAAGTTAAAGTCACTTGATGTCATGATGGTATCAGGGAACTGATGGGTGGGAATCTCCATCATACTGGCTGGTGGAGTGTGTGGGAGCTCAGGATCCAGGCTGCCAGCCATGCCTTGTTCCCCATCCCTGGCATAAAGTATCCCGTCGGATCTGGATTTTGGGCTTCAAGCTAGCCTTGGAAGCCTGAACTGCATAAAGCCATGATCACAGAGCCATGTTAACCCAGTGCTTTTCTTCTAAAAAAATGTTTAGGGGTACTCTCATTTTCCTACTCATTTTGAAATACTGCCCCTCAATGAGGCCAAACTTAGATTCACAAAATGTTTAGGGGTCTGTGTACCCCTGCGTACCCCCAGGAAAAAGCACTATGTTAACCTATGTCTCACCATCCTTTGTGCTGTCTGAAATGTCATGTTTTCAGTTCCTTCTGAACTGCAGCTGCAAATACGCAAGGGGCACGCAAATTCCCACATGGCCAACTTAGATGCTAACTAATTGTCTACTGATCCATGCACAAAGTAACACTTGACGAGGAAACTCAACATGGTAGGACAGAGACGTTTAAGACAATGCATTTATTTATGATTGCACTTGTACTCTGCACTTTCCTCAAATACGTGGCTATTCTTTGCTTCAGCTCTTCACAACAACCCTGTGTGATAGGATAGGCTGAGAGATGAGTAACTTCATGGCTGTTTGAATCCAGGTCAAGCAATCTGTCCACGTTAAGTAATCCCAAAGAATGTTAGATGAGAAGAAGATTGGAAGAAATTTAAAATTTACTTACAGAAATATTATAAAATTTTTGAATGTGAATGACGTTGGAATGAAACGAAGTGGTTCTAGCAATATGATTAGAAGTTATAACATGTGAGGAAAATAACTAAGGGTAAAATAAGAGGGTATGAAAATAACTAAGGGTAAAATAAGGGTATGAATTTGCTGAACAAACCTGTAAATGGAATACAAAAAAGGGAGGTGTGAGGAAGTCATGAAAATAAGTTAATGAGTGGTACGATATCTGAAAGAGTGATTTTTCCTTTTTAATTTTGCTTTTTAATTTTGCTTTTTGTTTTCTGTCTGTTTTTGTGTTTTTGTTTTTAAAACTTCTATTTGTAAAACTTAATAAATATTAAGATTAAAAAAAAAAGAATGTTAGATGAGTCAAGGGGGGGGAGAGAAGCTGGACAGGAGTAAACTAAAAGAAACCATCAAGAGTGATACTCCCCCCCCCCAGTAGAGAATAAGTTAGATGTACAGTTTGGTCTGATGCAGTCCAATGAGCTGCTGGAATTTGGAAGTGTGAACTGGCTGTGAGTTCATCTCTCCAAAGAGAATTCTTGTACAGCGCATTTAGATTCCAGGCAAGTCAAAATTACATGCTGACACACAACAATGGAAGGCTGTTTGGTGCATACTTAAAGCATTTTGCAGCTCTGCTTTCCTACACGTTCTCTGAAAAATAGTGGGGGCAGGCCCTAGGCAATTCTGTTGTTAGCTCACAGCAGACAGAGCAGTCACACACTGAGCATTTTCTCCCATTCTTTGAAATATGCAACAGGTTTACAAATGAGCTGCAGCCTTGGCTGTTTGTGTCCTTGAGAGCTGCTGAGTTTGTACCTTTGTCCTAGCAACTCCCGTACTGGAAAGAGGATTGAGAAATGACAGCAGGCAGAAAGCAATGGGGGAACGTGAAGAAAGCAGTTGAAAGCTCACCATTCTGCTTCCTGGCTGTGGTTAACGCTTGCAGTGGAAAAACGCTTGCAGCTCTGAGTCAGATGTGTCAAAGAGGGAAGGTGCAAACCCCAAAGACCTACATCTCATTGCCAGATGCATCCCCTGGAAGTGCCACTGTAGGTCCTTACCTTCTCAACCATCCTTCCCACTAACTGGGCCAACCCCAGATGAAGTTACCACAAGGCCAGGAAAAGGAAGCAGCTTGCCCATAGTGCTCTCTCTCTCCCTCCCTCTCTCTCTCTCTCTCTCTCATTAGAGCAGACTGTAGCACCAAAGGCAAATCACACTACCCACCTATTCTCTCTCGTTCTCCCCAACCCCTAAAGGTGAGACTCCACATTCCCTGTTAGATGCAGGAGAGTCTGACATGGAGTAAGGGGTATTTGATGTGGAGAATCCAACTGCAACCCATAATTTCCTGCCCAGGTATATCTGCACTCTATTCTTTCTCTCCACCACTGTGAAAATGCTCTTTACACATAAGAGCTTATCTTGGTCACAAAAAGATGAGAGTTCTCTCTCTCTCTCGCTCTCTCTCTCTCTCTCTCTCTCTCTCTCTCTCTCACACACACACACACACACACATGGATTTATGCAGCATATCATATTTGTGGAGTCAGTGTTGTGTACTGGTTACAATGTTTGACTAGGACCTGGGAGACCTGGGTTCAAATTCCCACTTGGCCATGAAGCTCACTGTCCTACCTCAAAGGGGTGTTGTAAGGATAAAATGAGGAGGGAGAGAACCATGTATGAAACTTGAGCTCCTGGGAGAAAAGATGGAATATAAACAAACACGTATATAATTTTGGGTGCTTGCGAACCCAAAGAACATGTGTCTAGTAAGAAAATGACAAATACATCTTACTTTATTAATCCCACATCCCAAAAGGTGGGAGCTTTCTTAAATATGCCATTACCAATACATACCAGTCTGAAATTAAGAAGGTGTGAAGATACAATTTTGTGATTGTGTGTTAAGAGAGCAAAATCTTTTTACCCTGGACTGAAAATGAAAAATTGAACATACTGGTAAATTTCTCTACATAAGAGACTGGTGAGGACAGCAAGCTGGTTCAGAAAATGTAAACTTGGACGCAAGTGCACATTTTCTGTATATCCCCTCCACACATGTATGACTTTGGCATGGGTGGAAACTTCATCAATAGGAAATATTCCAGTATTGATTGACAGATTGCAGAAATAATATTCAGCTTTATATTTTCCAGGCAGGATACCAAAGCTAGCACAAGTATGTGAACAGCATGGCGGGGTGGGGAGCAGAAGTATTGCCCCATGCTCTGGAAATAGACACAATATAAAGGGCTGCAACCGTAAGCTAATATCATACACCTGTGAAGACTGTGGACTTTGTTTTATTCGTCCCTCCCATGAGGAAGAGACATTCTCAGTTCTCCAGATATCAGCTGTGCCTGAAATCTACTTTGTGAGTTCACCCAGAAAGAATAATACACCTGAGCGCCTGTTGTTATACAATAAAGAGTTTAATGCTGCCCAAAAGACAGCAACAGACTTTTCAATACAAGGATGGATCCTGAAAGGCTGGAAAGACTGACCGACTACCTGCGCAATTAGGTAAGAAACTGCACCAAAGCAACTCCCCAAAGCAATTAAGTCTACAAAATTTACCAGCCCACTGAAATAAATTGCTAGCCTGTTTGCGCCTCCCCTCAATCTTCCAGCCCGTTGCAGCCTAAAAGAAACACAACTTTTGTGAGGTTACTTTGCTTGGTGGAGAGAGTCTTGCATGCCAAGCTAACCATGCAGATGGCTTTTTATTTCCCCTCTGTTCAGGCCAACTTCCCCCACCTCACCCCTGCCAAATGCAGGGAGTGTGGAAATGAAACTTTTGAGTCACTTGATGCAAAAGTGACTAACGTTATCTGACATGGAGCTGATCAGATGCGCTCATGTTGATTTCTTGTAACTGGCCCTAGAGCTCACTGTTTTTAAACTGAGCTGGCAAGGCGGGCGGAAGACGCTCTTGGAAGCTCCCTCCACCCTGGAGGTGAATGACATGATAACAACCAATGCAGCCAACGGACACATTGCCTGTTGCTTCCTCTGTAACGTTACTCAGCCGCAGACCACATTGCTGGGGTGGAGTGTGGGAACAGAGAAATGCACAACCAGGTGGGTTCCGTTTGGATATTTTGGTTTGAAAAGGCTGCATTGATATTAACAGTCAGTACAAGCCAGGCAAGGCCAAAACCAACAGCAACCCATCGCTGTCACGCAGTCTGGTTTAAAAAACAGGAGGCAGTGAACTATCCTGCCTTGTTTATTGGCTCCTTCATGCACGCACGCACGCACGCACGCACACACAGAGAGAGAGAGAGAGAGAGAGAGAGTACTGGTGGGAGTTGGCAATTTCTTGCTGGCACTGCAAATAAAGGGGACTGATATGATTATGCGCATATCAGAATACACGAAGTGATGCTGCAGATACTATTATCGGAATAGCACGCGTCAAAAGAGTTGTGCTTATGAATTCCCCTGCTGTGAGACAGAAGGTCGCACAGTTTCGGTGGTTCCTTGAAATAGAGAATCAGGGACCAGAAACGCAGAAACGACTGAGCATCCAGCCTGTGAGAGGGATGTGTGCCTTGCCTTACATCTTGACAGAGTAAAGGCTTGGAACGTTCTGCAGCACTGGATAACAACCCATTGTATTGCTCCCATTTCCTCAGGGTTCCTGAAGCCTGGATGGGATTGCAAAAAAAAAAAGGGGGGGGACCGGGGACCTTCACTACAGGATGGATATGAAGGACATACCCAGAATGGGTGGAGAAACCTGACTGCTTACACCAGGAGGTGTCAACCTGGTCCCTACCACCCACTAATGGGCTTTTCAGGATTCTAGGTGGGCGGTGGAGGGTTCTATGGCACAAGCTGAATCCTCCTTCCATCAAGCACTGGTGGGCGGTAAGGAAATTTTACCATCAGGAAAGATGCATTAGTGGGCAGTAGGTTTAAAAAATGTTGACTACCCCTGGCTTACAGAATATATACTGCAGGGCCATACCGAAGTAATTGCCCAACTGATACCGTTCTCTCTAGAGCTGAGTTAAGAACCTCAATAAGACTAAAATGAGCCAGAAAAATGTAAAGAGGACTTTTACTGCCAAATCAAGCCAGTGTGGTATAGGGCAGCCTTCCCCAACTTGGTGCCCTCTTAGATGTGTGGCCTACACCGCTGTGCTGGCTGAGGCTGATGGGAGCTGTAGTCCAAAATATTCAGAGGGCAACAGATTGGGGAGGCTGGTGTAGTGGATCAAGTATTGCAGATTTGATGAGGGACGCCTGGGTTCAAATCCCTGCTCTGTCATGAAACTTACTGGGTGATGCTTAGTGTGCCACTATTGTAAACTAACCAACCTCGAGTGGTTGTTGTGGGGATAAAATGGGATGCCCTAACACATGCTGTAATGAGTTCCTACAGAAAGTAGAAAGCTGCAACAGGCAAATAAGCCCTGGAATCGGAACGTTCACAAGAGATGCCATTTTGACACCTAAAATGAAATGCAATGTTCCATAGCGACGACAAAGACATACATTGTACAGGCAAAAAAGTTGTCTAAGGAGAATGCCTTACCTCGTCCGGTATCGCTATCACCTGCATAAATGAGAAAGCAACAGGTAAGAACATAAGGAGAGTCCTGCTTGTTTGAACCAAACCCTATCTAGCCCAGCAAACCTGGTACCCACATAGGCCAGCCAGAAGCCTACCCCAAAGCAAGACATAATCTCTCTATTTTACTGCTGTTCCCCAGCAACTTGGCATCTGGAGGCAAATAATCTATGATATTAGAGGGAGGACACAGTCATCATGACCAGCAGCCATTGATAGCTTTACACTCCATGGATTTGTCTAATCCCTTTATAAAATCCATCCGAGTTGCTGGCCATCACCCAAGCGTATGAGAACAAATGACACGGTTTCAACTCTGCGCCGTGTGAAGCACTTCCTACTGGCTATTGCAACTGTCTGCACCAATCAGCTTCATTTGGTGACCATGGGTTGTTATTTGGGGAGAGGGAGAACAATTCCTCTCTCTCTACTTTCTTCACAAACGCATCTCCATCAGGGCCCCACAACTTATTTTAGATCCCTTGCCTGTTGCTTCCTAGGAAGAAATTTGCCTTTTTTTCCACAGCAACCACACATTGGGCCAGCTTTTTCACTGACATATCCGCCATACTCTGAATATACTTTTCCTGGTCACTCACTGCCAGCTCTGATTCTATCAGCGCATATACAAGGCCCCCAAATAGGCATCACTTTATTGGCCATGCCCCACTCTGAAGATATTTGTCACAATATCCTTTTTGTTTTTATCCCCCTGAATTATTAGGTGTAATTTAGACACTTGGTGAGCTCAACCCTAACTCTAGGTCAGGGGTCAGCAACCTTTTCAGCCGGTCCACCATCCCTCAGACCATGTGGTGGGCGGGACAATATATTTTTTTTGGGGGGGGGGAATGAACGAATTCCTATGCCCCACAAATAACCGAGAGGCATTTTAAATAAAAGGACACATTCTACTCATGTAAAAACAAGCTGATTCCTGGACCATCTGTGGGTCGGATTGAGAGGGCGATTGGGCCACATCTGGCCCACGGGCCTTAGGTTGCCTACCCCTGCTCTAGGTCATCTATGAACAAACTCAAAAACAGTGGTCTCAGACAGATCCATAGGCTTCCCTACTTCTTATATCCCCACCCCGCCATTGCAAGAGCTATCCACTTATTCATACAGTTTTACTTCCTGTTCACCAGTTACCAGCCCAGCTGCGAATATGGGCGTGCAGAGAAAAAGGGAGATAAACAGGCAACTGGGAGAATGGAGGATAGCACTACAATCTTCACCCTGCCAGATCCAGCAGGGCCAAGGGGATAAGGGTGGCACTTGGGGATAAAGCACCTCCTTCCACTGGGTATGTTGCATTGGTGCAGTGTTGCCACCTTGAGATGGGGAAGCAAATCCTCCAGTATGAATATGGGTGCCAGTTAAAGTGATGTTCTTTTAAATGGAATGGGATGCAGCAAATGTTGGCCTGCAGCACAGTGAACTTTAATGCCATTTATCCCCCTGAAGAGCATTCACATAAAGGAGGGCTTGGCTTGCAGGTGGCTGAAGTTAAAATTAGTATTAGCTTGATGGACTGAATGACCCATCTCATTTTCAAATGTAGCATCAACCTCCGGCACCTCTCTCTCCCTCTCCCCAAAATATATATAGCAAAAAATGTAAAAGCCTACCATTGCCTTTAGTCTACTTCCATTCACCTGAAGTGCCCTCCTACTTGCCAGCCAGATCAATAAGAAAAGCTGTATGACACCTACTTGTGTTGACTTCCAATGTGTATTGTGCGAGCTGACCTCCCACCCTGCGGGAACCTTAATATATGTTGCGATCCCACATGATTCTGCTTCTTCCCTTTCCTTTCAACTCCTTTCCCAACCTACGAAGAATACTGACACTGGGTCTCTTCTGTTTGTCTTGCTTATTATCTTCTGAGAAGCTCAGCACATTGTCTACAGACTGTGGTTAAGGAGAAGAACGCTTAACGACAGTGCTGAGTTTGGACAACACATTAAGCCAAACATCTTGGCTTAGCTGCTATGCCACACCAAGCTAAAATGGCTGGGGAGGAGAAAAGTAGCTGTAATCTCATCCCTGGGAGCCAGCATGATCGTCGCAAGCCAAAGTTTGGCTTAGTATTACATGCAAACAACACAGTCATCGACACAGCATGGAAACCATTAGTTCAATTGGGGGTGGGGGGAAGAAAGCTGTAGACAAATATGCTTACCTGAGTCTTTTGTTATCTCAGCTAAAAGCAGAATGCACACAGAGGAAGCATTAGTGAATAATCTTCAGAAAGCAATATCACCCCAAGTCTTTTATAGTTCCCTGCACCCAAAAGTAAATTTTGCTTCATTTGGGGGGCGTTTCCTCATTTCAAAAACTGTCCTTCCGTTGCCCAGACATAGGATGCTTAAATCTTTACATCAGACAGAATGAAAGCCACCCTTATTATGGGAGTCACAAAGGGGAATGTGTTGTTGCCCTCAAATCCTACTGGTGGACTTTCTGTAAGCATCTGCTCACCATAAAAATAAGATGCAGGACAGGGTGGGATTTTTGCCTTGGTATAGCATGGCTCTTGTCACATTCTTAACCCCCCAATTCAGGCCACTCTTAAGGCCTCGTTTACATGATTGAGGCAGCTGAAGTTGCTTTTGAGGTGGCAAATTAAAAAGCTGATATTCTACAAGTAATTTCTGTGATTCAGCTGCAACAAGAAACAGGTGTGTGTACTGGCATATATCTATTTGTGCAAGAAATGGCCAAACGCACACACACTCCTACGACTTAATACCAGCAAATTAACATGATGTTATTAGCAGAATTTCATGGTTCAGTTTTTTCTTTTACTATTCTACTTAAGAAGGCAAAGGATTTGTGTGTATCTGTTGCATATCAGACTACTCAGCATGGAATTAACTCTCTGCACACAGAAAGTTTGCATGTCAGGGAGAAGGGATGTCTGACATGCAACTTTTTTATGTTCGATGAACAAACCTGCAAGTCCCACCCTACACCCTTGTAGTAATGGAGTGGCCAGTAACAACTTTACCACTCAGTTCTGTTACCTGTATGAAGTGATTGCAGTGAGCAGATTCTAAAGAGACACCAGCACCAAGTCTCCCACACCCATAGAACAAAGAACCCTGGGGAGCCAGACACACTCTTTCCCTGCAAAGCAATACACAGATACACACTTGCTTTGTGGTGTAGTCTTGTGCATTCTTTGCCTGGAATCAGCAGTGCATTCTCTGCTCAGTTGACTGCTTGTGCTTTGCTTCCTGGGAGTCCTTCCCTCATTCTTTTGAACATAATGAAGGACCATAAAGGGACCCCTGACCATTAGGTCCAGTCGTGGCCAACTCTGGGGTTGTGGCGTTCATTTCGCTTTATTGGTGGCCAAGGGACCTGGCGTACAGCTTCCCACGTCATGTGGCCAGCATGACTAAGCCACGGAAATGCCGTTTACCTTCCTGCCGGAGTGGTACCTATTTATCTACTTGCACTTTGACGTGCTTTCGAACTGCTAGGTTGGCAGGAGCAGGGACCGAGCAATGGGAGCTCACACCTTTGCGGGGATTCGAACCGCCGACCTTCCAATCGACAAGTCCTAGGCTCTGTGGTTTAACCCCTCAGTGCCACCCCCGTCCCTATGAAGGACCATAGCCCAGTAGTAATCGCTTTGCATGCAGAAGGTCCAAAATTCAATCCCCAGTATTTCCAGGAAGGGCCTAAACCCTGGGGAGCCCCTGCCAGTCACTCTAGACCAGAGTTTCCCAAACTTGGGTCTCCAGCTGTTTTTTGGACTACAACTCCCATCATCCCTAGCTAGAAGCAGTGGTCAGGGATGATGGGAACTGTAGTCCAAAAAATAGCTAGAGGCCAAAGTTTGGGAAACAGTGGTGTAGACAATCAGGAGCCAGGTGTTCCTAACTTGGGAGATGTGCCTATTTCCTGCTAGCTTTCCTGGAGGGGGTACCAGCTCAGTGCAGGGCTGTTTGCCCACATTCACAGCTTATGGTGCCCACCCAAAGTTGCTAGGGGTGCTTCCTTGGCCCAGAAGAGTTGTGCTGGCCTACAGTCGCTTTTTTAAAAAGAAGAAAAGAGGAAAGATGTATAGGAGAACTGGAGGCATCTGGGATTCCCACCTATTTGCGCACCTTCATGGCTTCTGAGCCTGAATCAGCTAAGGTGTTTGGGGAGGCATCAGATCTATAATCTATTTTCTCTCTTTTCTTGAAGGAGGTGAATCAGGAAGGGTGAGGGAGCCACCGCCAGGTAACCATTTGCCTCAGGCAGGGACTTTGCCTGATAGCTGTTTGTTTGCCTGCCTGCCTTTCCCTCCTGCTAGCCACCATCCCGTAATAACATTCTCCTTTCGCCCTTCATCAAGGATGGAGAGACCCGGATGCACAGGAGAAGAAGGTGTGTGTGTGTGTGTGTGTGTGTGTGTGTGTGTCTGCCTGCAAATGATAAAGGGACTTCTCAGCTCCAGGAGAAGTCTAGATAGGCAGGAAAATCTGAAGGTGGCTGACAGGGGTGGGGGGCGGAGAGAACTCTGGGGTGGACAACAAAATTGGATGGTGGGAGAGAAAAGAGAGAGATCTGCTCTGTTGCTAAGAGCTGCTGGCCTGGCAGAACCCCCATTAGTTACCACCTTGGAGGAAGATGCTGTGCTTTTCTCCCTCCTCCCGCACTTTGGCTAAGATTTAAAAGGGCCTTCACTGACTGTCTTTTTCCCATATCGCGTCTCTTTCTTGTCTTCCCAACTCCCCTGTGTTTTCCTTGCCCTTATGATTCACCATCAGTCTTGGACCAAAAGTTCTTTTTCTCTTGCTGAGGGTATAGATTTTTTCGGGGGGGGGGGGAGGCGAGTGATGCAATTTGGCATATGCTTCTCATCAGATTTGGCGAGATGGTGTTTTTCTTTTCTTGTGTCAGAGTGTGTGAGTGAGCGACTGGGCCAGGATTCTAAGTGAGTCATGGCTAAGTGGGGACTGAGCCTGGGCTTTCTTTAGCCAGTTGTGAATGTGGGGCTTTTGCCTTTTCCATGGAATTTGAGTAGAAGTCCAATTCGGTAGAATTAAAACTGATTCTCTTGCATTCGCATAGCATTTACATGGGTCCACACACACCCCAACCACCATCAAATCACAGGTGTCATCTGTATCTCCATGAATTCTACTGTAAAATAATTAAAGGTAAAGGTAAAGGTACCCCTGCCCGTATGGGCCAGTCTTGACAGACTCTAGGGTTGTGCGCCCATCTCACTCAAGAGGCCGGGGGCCAGCGCTGTCCGGAGACACTTCCGGGTCACGTGGCCAGCGTGACATCGCTGCTCTGGCGAGCCAGAGCCGCACACGGAAACGCCGTTTACCTTCCCGCTAGTAAGCGGTCCCTATTTATCTACTTGCACCCGGGGGTGCTTTCGAACTGCTAGGTTGGCAGGCGCTGGGACCGAGCAACGGGAGCGCACCCCACCGCGGGGATTCGAACCGCCGACCTTTCGATCGGCTTTTACCCACAGCGCCACCCGCGTCCCTATGAAAACCAGGTATAGTCCAGCCCTAATTGTGAAGGGACAACTTTTAAGACAGTCCCATTCTCAAAAGATATTTAGCATTAACCCACCAAGTAGGTCTGGAGCAGTTTACACTAACTGTGGACCACACAACAAAGTTGAAGGAATCAGAGGACTGGATCCATTATCTAGTCTAATTTTTTTACCTAAAGCAAGCTCCTCAGTGTGTTCCCCTCACATTTTAGCATGCCATAAAGCAGTGACCCTAAGTGAATAAGGTGAAATGACACTAGAGGGGGGGAAACCACCCAGGCTAGAAATAGAGAGAGTAACTGAACAAGCCACACACTACTCACAGAAGCTGCTAAACACACATAAGCTACCGGTCATAATATATGTATAGGAGCACAAATGAAATATAGCAAAGCTCTTCCGTACTTGAGGTGTCAAAGGCTTTTGGCGTAGTCACTGCTGTTGTGGTGTTGGCCTCTACAGTCACCAGATTTGAATTTGCAGCAGTCGTGTGTGGAACTGAAGGTGTGGCATTTGTCAGGAGGGAGGTGGGCCCAGAAGTGGCCCCAGTTGCCGGCAAAACTGTAGCCTCTGTGCCTGGAGAGCTGACCATTGTGGCAGGCAGGAAGTCTGTGGCTGTAGGAGGAGGAGTAGTACGGTTTGGTGCCATGGCAGGAGACGCTGCTTGAGAAGGAGCATGGCTACTGGTGGGGCTTGTGGGCTTCCCGCTGGCTGGTTGCGTCTTGGCAGTTTTCATGGAACTTGTGAGCAAGGAAGAACCCGTCGAAGGGAGCACTAGAAGTAAACGAACAAAAGGGAAATTGACAGGTTATGTTGCTCCCCACACCTGATCTTACACGCACAGACATGAGCGTCAGGTTTTTCTCCACAAGTAGTAGGGCCTCCCAGATTAAGAATGAGATTTATTTCATCCAAAATTAACAAATCTAAACCTATGAGCCAAATAAATATTCGCAGAAGACAGCGTGCAAACTGTTAGTACTACGTTGCCCTTTATGGTTATTGGAAGATACTTTCCAAGGATCATTCTATTGTATTTTGGCTGTTCAATCCCCTCCACACAAACCCCAACAACACACACACTCCACCCCCCCCCAGTATCTTTCGTTCCACATCTAGAACTGTTACCCCTATTATAAAGTGTAGCACAGAACTACAGAATAGAGCTCCCTTTCCCCCTATCTTTGGAAAGCTGCTCTGACTGATGCCAAAGTTCTAGCAGTTTTGTTAGAGGCTGGAGAAGAACGTGGAAGGGCACTGCTAAAAGCACGGAAATCAGTTATGTTGCACGCTGTCTTACACATATGAGCAGGCATTAAACCTAGGTTATGGGCACAACAACGGAATATCCTAGGCACTACTTTCTAATAACAATAATACAAAGCTGAAAATGAATGAACTGCAGCTAAAATATTATGCTCATTTTTCACATGGTCTAGTCCTTCCCCTGCCCACCCCCCTAATATTCTTAAGAGGGTCTCTTCTCCAGTTTTCAGTGAGTGGGGAGGCAGAAAAAGGTGCTCCTTTCCTTCCACTCTGCAGTTTTAATCTAAAATCTAAGGCGCAGTACTGCACCCAGAGCTCAGAAACTGCTTGCGCTAATGAAATTCCCTGTCGCAAAATGCGCCTAGAACAATGGGAATTTTTGAACACCGGTTACTTAAAACACATTTTAAAAATTTGAACATTTACTAAAAGTTATGTCCTGCAAAAGGAAGGTGGTCATGCCCATTCCCCCTTGATATGTTCAGTGATTAAACTGAAAACGACATAATGCTTTACCTGTGGTCATGTTGGCTGCTGCTCCCAGGAATGTCAGGCAGCTGCTGAGCAGGATGACAAGGAAGCATGAACCCATGTTGGCCTGAGCGGTGAGGAAGAGAAACAAAACAGATGGGCTTCATTAACAACCCAAGCTTGCACTGCCAGCAAGAACGACCATCAGAAGTACCTAAGCATCGACACCTGTCACACTTTTGGAAGGGAGCCAAGAGCAGATCTTTATAAGAAGCAGTGTCTCTGTTATGTACCAGGGAATCGCAACATTCAGAACTAGCACATTTATAGGGCAGAAAATGAGATACGAGGTACAACCCAGGAAATCCTCAGTTCAATTCTCTCCTTAGCCATGAACTTATTGGACAGCTTTTTAAGGAAGCTATTAAGACTCAGAACCTCCTACCTCTAAATACAATTAACAACAACGATGACACCCTACTATGTAGAATCAAAGCAGACTCTTAAGAGTCCCTCACCAAAACAAAGCTTTCTTTTGGCTTTCAGTAAGATAGGGATGACAACCAACAAGGTAAGTTTCATAATACTGTAGGCCATTTGGTTTCGTAATAAGCCCTTTCCCACAGGACTCACCAACTCCTCTTTGGAGACTTTCCTGCAGGGTCAACCGCTGCAACGCCAAAGCAGCACATCTGTGCTTACAACTTGGCCAACTCTCTTGCAATGGCTTCTGTTACCGTACTCAGTTTCTATCTGCTTCAGCCCAGGCCCTTCCCAACCTCTGGATGCACAGACAAGAATGAAGTCATAGAAGTCCTGAACACACCACCCAAATCCTCCCAGCTACAGACAGCTTTGACTATCTGCAGGGAGATCTCGAGGCAGTGCTAAATACATAAATGAAGAATGCACCAAGCAAGGAGAGGAGGTTTTATCCTTCCATCCATACACAGCTCCAAATGAAATGCCCCCTCCCAAAGACAGCTTTTCTCCCCTAAGAATAACAGTGGTGCAAGAAAGGGAGGGATTTTTGTTAGAACCAAGGCGGGGGAAGAAAAGGTTGAGCCTCCCCTCCCTGCACACTGCAGTCTGGGATGAAGATTGGTCCCTCCTGTGCCCAATATTAAATTTAGAAAAATAACCACCCTGACATGTCTTGTAATGACACATTCAGCATCACATCCATTTTGGCCCTTATAGTCAACTAGGTCAAGAATCCTTTGGCCCAAAGAAGGGAAGCATGAGCCCTAAAAGCACCAAGTCCCACACATACAGAATTGGCCGTGGAATGTCTTCAAAACTCGTTTGCCCAGCATGTTAAGTCCCTGAGAAGTGCCTCTTGGGTCTTTGGAGATCTGGGATGACTTCAAAGAGTTTACACCTATATATCCAGCCACAGGAGTGAAACACCCTGTTGGGAAACAGGGTGAAACAGATCTGCTGGGTGCCTGAAGTGCAGTGTGGAAAGCTAATTCATAGATGTTCAAAGTACAGCCAGTGCAAGCCAGACGTTACAAATATTGTACATTGACACATGAAGGTCTGAGAGTTCAGAATCTAGTGGTTTTTCTGCAAGAATCCTTGTATCGCCTAATGATTACTTTTTCAGATTTTAGGATGTGCATTTTTTCTCTCTGAAGATTATTTTCATTTAGAGTTCCCACCTGTTGTATCAGAGGTTCTATGCTTTCAAATAATAAAAAAAGTGGTGTAGCTTTCTCCAACTTTAAAATACCATCATATGGGACCACTACAGTCCCTGGACTACTTCCTGCTGCAGCTGAAAGCATAGTAGCCTCTGTTGGGGGAAGACCAGTGACTACAACTTTGAAATGTCTTTTTAAAAGCCGTTTCTCTCTTACATGTATGCAAACATGCTGAAGGTATGCAATGGATTCTGGGCTGTGATGCTGGCTTGCTTCCCTAACAAAAGTGTGGATCTTGGTTTTTAATCTCTTGAGCAAGGTAGCACACTAGCTATCACTGTTTAAGTAAGAATAATTCAAAGGTGACTGACCAAGACAGCAATTAAGACAACCTCCCCCTACTTAGTGCTTTCCAGATATTTTGGACTACAATGTCTATCAGTCCTAGCCAGCACAGCTTGAGGAAGGTTGGAACAGAATGTGGAGTTCTTTATTTGTGTAGACAACAGTTATTTCAAGATAGTATCCCCAAGATAGCAGCCTTGAGGTCATGAATTTCAATTCTTTATTCTAGCGTAAACAGATACTCGTTTTCCCAGTTTCTGGCATTAGCACAAAAAGAAATCCTTACTCCAACAGCACTCCCACTGCAAATCTGGTTGTCACTTGGGGAGAGGGGAGGAAGAAGTTGTAAGAAACAACCACCACCACAACAACTATCTATATATCACCTAGAGATCTCTCACAAGGTTTTATAAAAGGTAGTATGACTACATGTGGGTTGTGCATCAGTGCGGAAATTAAGTATGTAAATCACTTTAGACCAGAGACAAAAATGGGGAGCAAGTATTACAATCCTGGTCATCACCTGATCATCACTTTGAGCAGAGATGGGGAACCTGTGGCCCTCCAAATATTGTTGGACTACAAATCCCATCATTCCTCACTACAGGCCATGCTGGCTAGGGCTGAGTTGGTCCCAGCATCATCTGAGGGCAACTTGTTCCCCTTCCCTAATTTAGAGCTATATGGCTTTTCAAGACAAGGAGTTCTATAGCTACCCTGCTTTAAAAGTGCACAGCACTTGCCTTGCATGTTTGGGTCTGTGCCAGAATGGAATTATCATTTAAAAAAACACGGAAAAAAACCAAAAGCCTACCCCATAAATGGACAATGAAGGATAAATAAAGCAAGTTACTGAAAATGATAGTGAAACATTTATACTGAAGTCATACATAAGATAAACACTACTTTCCTCCAACTGCCCTCTCAGACACCTAGGCGGACTCATCTCTTTCTCTTTCTCTGAAATACTCCTTAAAACCCACTCTTTCTGTGAAGCCTTTGCACCAATGGAGCAAACCCAAAGTATGCAAAACCAAGTTTTTGTGTTTTCATTCCCTACTACCCTTGCCTTCCTCTGTAGTCTTCTATACTGTTGAAATTCAGGTTGCCAACTTCTCTTGGCAAAGTTCCCTTATTTTGCTTATGTTCAGGGAGAAACTGTTATTAGCAACAGCTGCATTTTTCCTTTGCCATATGCAACCATCAGTATAGATTGTGGGCATGAAGATTCTGATTCACATCGGTAAAGAACGAACACCACGGCCTAATATTCTCTTCACGAAGAGAGAGGACTACCATTTTCACCACATGGATACACTCCAAACAGTTTGGATTGCTAAACAGTGTCAACTAGTAGCAAATCTGTTTCAAACGAATACAGATTTTTAGCAGGACTACAAACATCCCAGGTTTCTAGAAATACGACAGCAAGGACTTTATATTAAAAAACAACAAATTTTCCTTATGCAGGGCTGGAATGAGGGGCTTGCAAGATTTTTCCAGTGGTCCTTGCAAGTGTCCTGTAGCATGCCAGAAAGCATTATGACAGCCTATACGTCACAGAATGGTTTTATGCTCCCCATAGCAAAGAAAGAAAATCCTACTTTCACTTGGGAGTTTGACTGTTTCGAAAGAAGGGAGGGGAGCCATGCCAGCAAGTTTCCCTTTCCCTTTGAGAACCAAGAAATCATAAAACTGAGCAGAGTGGCTCAAGTCCCTCTTTGTCCGGCAAGTTAGCTAACATAGCTCTGACGTGATTTAAAATTACATCAGTTTTAAAACACAGCTGCCTGCTCCTACAGCCCCCTCAGCAGTAACATTTTAAGAATCAACTGTCTCCTTTGGTAGAAATTACTCAAGGTACGGGTAAAGCAGATGTTTTGGAGGTGGGGGAAGGATGATCAGTTCAGAAGAGGAATCTGCATGCACACACTTTTCCAGCGATGTGGCTAGGATCGTAAGATTGGAGCTGAAGCTCAAGCCAAACCCGGAAATAATATGTTATGGATATCAGAGGGCTTCTTGACAAATATCAGGTGGGAACCAACAGCATCTGATAATATGGACTGATTGATAAAGACGAGCTCCAGGGGTTGCAGGTGTTGTCATGTCAAGCAAAAAGGGCCCACACACCCTCTCAACATTGTTTAAAGCAATTTGGAGAACAGGATGGAAGTCACTTTATCACGGCAGATGTTTGCTAGTCAAAGCTTCTCTCAAATCACCCAATGTTGCAAAATAAATTGACAGCAGCATCTTAAAAGTAAAGGGGGTGCCAGGAAACTGGGGGTTATGTTCACATGTGGTGGAGGGTGTAAATATGTACAATTTTTTTGGTAAAGGGTGTTTAAGGAGGTAACAGAAATCACTGGGTTAAAGCTGACCAAAAGTCCAGAGGTAGCATTATTATCAATCTACGATGGGGTGGAAGGTTCACAGGCTATGAAGGACTTGCTCACAAATTCATTGGCAGCTGCACAAACTATAATAGCTAGGAAGTGGAAGGGGCAAGGTGAATATAAAATAGAAGAATGGTATAAAGAGGTGTGGGATATCACTTTTAATGATAAATTAACATGTGGGGAATATGCAGGAGAAATGATTTTGAGGATATATGGAAGGTGTTTGTAGAATTTGTACTGTTAAAATGGAAAGGGGTCAAACCATTGCAAGAGGTGTTGGAATTTTGGGAGGTTGGATAGTTGCAATGGAATGGTCTTGTGGGGGGGTGCACATTTTTATTCTTATTTATTTCTGATTATTACTTTGTCAAAATAAATAAAAAAAGTAAAATAAAAAAATAAATGTTTGGTGTGGATATAAAAAAAGAAGTTATGTCTTAAGTTAATTCTTATTATGGCTCCCTCCCCTGTGTACACGCCTCCCATACAGATACAGAAACTGAGGGGAAATGCTTGTAATGTTATCAACATACACACAGCTGTTGGCTAGATGCAGCATCCTGCGCACTTCACAGAAAAAACACACATACCCTGACATCATGCCTCTGGTTTCACACAAGGCGGAGGGGGAGGGAGGAGCAGGAAGGAAAAATGCATTACACCACAATCATTTTTGCAAAGAACTCAATAAGAGGCATCAGCAAGACTGCACAAGGAGAAACAAATGGGAAGTA